ATTTGGAAGTTTCCACTCATTGTATATATGCTCATTGGTTGGAGGACTGAATGGACTTAAATATAAATTTAAACGAAACATTTTGACTGAGCCAAAAGACATAATTTTATATCCGCGGGACCCACTGGCTCTAATAACGCATGTATAGCACTTGTGAAAATTGAATAAAAACAAAGTGAAAAGACTTGCCCTGTTTTTGCAATTGTCACTTTTTGCTCCAATCGAAGCTCCAGAAAGATTACTTCCTTTTGATTTCCCAAGTACGAATCTTATATATATATGTTGTTCTTACATAGCATGAAAGTAGAGGCATTTTGTGTACCTATGTCATTGACAGTTTTGAATATTTGAATCTTTCAGAGATACATTTATAGCTTTAAAATTAAAAAAATTGCAATAATTAAGCGGATTTGTGATGCGTATCTTCAGACTCTTTCTTTACAAGTAAGGCAATTCATTTCATTGTTTAATCAAATTACAACGAGATGAACTGAGACATATTCTAAGTAGCCTAACCCCGAACAACAAACCGACGTGTAAAATTTGTGAAGCAGTTGGTATCGCATATGTAGTTCTTGTCAACGTTGTCATAAAAGCATGAATTACCAAAAATAAATTTCAAGTTCAAAAAATAAATAAAAATTGGCACATATTCCAATTTATGTAAAATAATGATTTGTTGGAGGAAGTTGAATAATATATTCAAATCAAATGACAGGAAAATTGTTTTTGTGACTCATATGCCGTTATGTTTAGCAATTCAGTTAGAAACTTGCTTTCGAAAATAAGAAGTCGCGACATGTTTGATTTTTATATTATGTATACAAGCAATTTTTCTATATTGGGTATTTGCCCTTTTCTAACACTCGGTTATTTTTCAGCAGTAACAACTATTTGTAAAGCCACCTGGATTTCACGGGAAGTCTTGCCTTGAGGATACAAACAATATTATATGTATTTCCCAAATTCAAATGTTAACTGTAAAAAACAGCCGCCAAGATTGTTGATTTTTGTAAGCATTATGATGATAACTTACAGAAAATTTGACGAAAATTTGCCAATAACGTTACTTACAAACATTGTTTGGCTGAATTGTTGCCGTTTCACCATCCTGACTTCCACTTCTTAAAAGGATTCGTTGTGATTCACGTTGTCCAATATTTCCTTGCGAGCAACAGCTAATCCTAATACAATATAACTGATTACCAACAAGTTGACGTTAGTTACTAAAGATTGTAATATCCTAAATTATACTTTTTGGGGAATTACTCCTTTATTTAGAATCTTGAGGGTATGCATGGTATTTAGTATGAACAAATTAGCAAAACAAAATCGTTTCAAGAAACCTTGCAAGGGAATAAAAATAACTAACACGTTGGGTAATCAAAAAATTTGTTTTATTTTCTTGTGCTACTTTGTAAAAACAGCATGTGCATCATTGAAATTGTGTCAAGTTCTAGTTTTAAAATTTGATTGTTTAGCTCAAATAGTGGCAGCATTCAACTTTACGCGATGTTTCAATTGTTTATTTCCGTAAAGAGTGACACAAATATTAGGTGAAGAAATTATATTAAGAAAAAGGTTACCTCTTGGTTGTTCCTCCATTCATTAGCTGGTAATCCCAATGCAGTTAATTTCCACTTTGTATTATTTCATATCCAGTTTTTTTGATATTAAGTTTAATTACTAATTTTTTCATCGAAAGAATGAGGAATTACAACAGTCATGTTGCAACATACATTTTTAATCGTAAATTTTAAAACTCAGGGATCATTTGTATTTAATAATCATCAACATAATCTAGTTTCTATCTAGTCGAGACAAAATAACATTATACAGAGCGGGGGGTGGAATGAATTACTAATGTTAGATAATAAAGCACTAATTCTTCTGTTCTGATGACAACTCTAATCTTCAAATTGACTTTCCAATTGCTTCCCACAATGCGAGCATGTAAAGTCAACGAAGATCTGGTGACTGACACCACATTAGACTAGCCTACTGGCTTTATGCTTAACAATTACACATATTTTTGAAACTCTAAAACAATAACATATTACTCACAGAAAGCTTGGGTCGAGTAAGCATAAATGTCAAGTATAGTGGGAATAAGGAATGAATGTTGAAGAAAGATGAAACAACAAAAAAGAACGTAATTAAAGCAGTTTAAAATAGAAAAATGCCACCATTGTATCGGTTTTTAAAAATGGTAACGCGTTCAGATCCGAGTAGATATATATCGTCGGAGCTCCCGAATTATGTGCACCAAGATAGCGCACAACCTGAACATGGTATGTGTACCAGGTTAGCGTTCAGGATGTGCGCCATCTTGGTGCACATACTTCGGGAGCGTCATACTAGTCTTAGAAAATTATTAACATTGCTCAATGAATCCTATATTAGAGATTATTATAATTCATTCTGGCTGGTAACCGATGAGGTATAACGTTTTTATTAAAATCTTTCGACTGTTCACTCGTTGAACTCAATAACAATCTAATTTCTTTGCTTTGGCTATTTTGGAAGACATTCATCGATTTTGGCATATGGTGCTTTCAAATTTACTCTACTAATTCTGGAATTCCCCAGAGCTCAATCCTTGGACCCATATTGTTCTTCATGTTTATTAAAAGACTTATGTAAAATCTCATTTGCGAGTTATATACATTGATGCACAGCTTCATATTCTTGTGTCGATATGGAAAATAACAACGATAAGTTCGCCAAATCTTTGGAAAACGCATTGTGTCAAATTTCTAAGCCCATTGTTAGAACAGAATTTGAGGATTCATACATCACTTGTTAAATTAAAATTTATTGTTACCCCAATTAATGTGTTGAAGTGAATATGTCGAGTCGATTGCTTACAAATGTTCAATGAAGTTAAGCTCAGTTTAATGTGCTTGTATATATATATTTATTGTGTGAATGTATACTTATATTGTACAAATCCATAACGCGTCTTTGCAAATTGATTTGGACTGTTGCTCTCGCGACTGTTCTTTGCCATATTGGCCGATTACTAAGATACCATAATTTCGAGCAGGAAATTACTTAACAGAAAACATTTTGCGACAACGTTTAATATTAAAAGAAATATGAGCTGGTGATATTTTGCATGAATAAAAAATTACGTAATCGTATTTCTGCGAAACCAGATTTGAAAGAAGGTATGGGTACGCGTTTTCTGAAAAATCAAAACTTATACTTTTGGGAAAGCCCATTCTTGCAAAAGCACGTATTTGCAAAACTTTATTCTCGCAATCGTATGCAGATGGTGGCTCAGAATAGATGTTTGAGCAACAGACACCAAACATTGAAGCAAAAATTGGAAAATTTCTGCTTGCAAAAGATCGAAACGCATCGCAACTGCATTAGCTAAATATAAGATAATGGGAAAGCATGTTCCGATATCTCTTTACGAATTGGTCCGACTTGCCAGACGTGGTACGAGTGATAGGCCACGACATATGTAAAATTTAGCTATTCATGAAATTCTCATCGGCGGCCAAAACGCTGTCAAAATGGAGTCAAAATAGATAGTGGATCTTAGCAGTGATATTATTTGAAGATTTGTGTTGGAAATCAAAAATTAGTCACTGGGTTTGCTATTTTCCTGGTCTCTATTCAACGCAATCCAAAAATAATATTATGATTTGATTATATAATGATATCTGTGAATCATTTTTATTGAAATTTAAATGTTATGCAACCGAAACGTCAATGCATCTCACGCAGCATGCCACTATAAATAGAGAGATGGTGAATAAAAGAAAACAGTATGAGTACGACGATTTGTCTCGGGCTGGGATGTGGAGCGAGTTGACATGATTTTGTGGCAGTTGGTAACAATATATTTTGGAGAGATGAATTGTTCTTCGAACGTTACTGCTGCACAAACCGATTTACTGGCATGGAATTTTTACGTGGATGTGTTGATTACTTCTATTTTATCTTACATTACATTGTGTCAAATTTATATATTAATCAAAAGAGGACTTTGGAAAATCCATGCAGAATGTATCAAAGACATCCTGACAGCAACCAATCTACGGACAATTATGAGCCTATGCCTTGTTGTATCAGGATTTCTTTCTTTGTTTAAAATGTTCAGTCAGTTGGCGTTGTATTTCAACCCAGATCATCCTGTATACTATAGCACTTCTGTTTCTTTAACGGGATTTAGTTTTATGTTTGTGTATCTTATACTATGGTTTCGTCAATCTATGTTTCATACTGAGACTTCTTTAAAGCATCTTTCATCAAATCATTTAAAAATATTTAGTTATATTCAATTTTACTCTATTGTAGTTTTTAGTTTTATCTTATTTGGTATTTTTATGGCATATCAAATCGTGAGCCGAGGTTATTTTAGATTACCATGCTCTCCAACTTGGTATTTATTTTTAATCATATTTTATCAAGTTGAAACCCAAATTTCAACTCTAGCTCTTTTTTTGATTCCCCTTGTACGACACAGAAAAAACATAAAAACAATTTCGGCATCACAAAAACCCTCAGAAGTTTTCATGCGTTTACTAACGAGATCATTCATAATTACACCCATAACGACTGTGACTGATATTATTGCACTAGTAGTTTTATATTACGGAGATATCTCGCTTGTTTATAGCTTGAATCTAGTAATTAATTTATGTTGCGTGATATTTTGTTTCGCTGACTGGAAAGAACGGTTTCTACCTTGTTTTAATTCTTTTAAAGATTGTTGTGAACCTTACTGCTTAAAAGACAATATACCATAAAACAAAATAATATTACTGCCACCAAATAAATCACCAAATCACATTTTGTACTGTCATATATTGTTTTTATTGTGTTTAATACAACTGGCTCGAACGACTGACTGTTATTGACGAATAGCAACAAACTAGACATCGTGCATTGAGTTTGCTGTCAACGACAATTACTGTTAATATTGAATCGAAATTTAAAACTATCATAGTTCAAATTGGAAGATTGAAACTCTTATGTCCACAATATTAATGTGTTATTATTAGTTTATTTATTATGTTTTATATCATTCTCAGTGTAAAAAAACTTAAATAGAATTGTTGTTATTGTTACATTGCAGTCTCATAAACATCATATTTGTTCTTGAAAAAAAATTTTTTCACAATTCTTCACTTAAATATTTTGTTGTTTATTGTTAAATACATGTTACGTTTGAAAATTGTGGTAAGATTTAGTTGAGAAGATGCGCAATATATTGATACTCAAATTTGGAATAACCCTCAGAATGAGTTATGAACTTATGACAAGTTGCAAGAAGAAACTTTAGATAAAGTAAATGCACAAAATTCATGTTTAATGATTGGAGAGTGTAGACATATAAATAAAATTTCAAATTGACAATAAAATTCACAAAAATAAATACAAGTTGAAAAATTAAAATCTGAAATGCCTGCTTTGTTTTCAAGTGTACCACTACTCTATACAACGCAGGTCGCCAACTACATAACATGTCAGTTTCAATTGCGAATTCCTCATATTGTCAACTTTTCAAACATTGCCCCATTTTTTTGTATATAGTACCTTTATATATATATATAAATATTACGATACAAGCTTTTATTTATGCTGGTATCATTACTAATGCTACTTCTTTTATTTTCAGTATAACCAAGTGTTGATATTTATAACCCGAACTATAATATTCTTTTTGCTTGTTTAAAGATTATATTCAATACGATATATAATATATTGCAGACAGAATTCTGAAAAACGATCTTTAAAACGTCAAATATATATGAAATTATAGATTGGCGTTTTTCTTTAATGCTTCTTTGTAAGCAACACGCAGATTCTTCACTGGTTCGCCACACGTTTTTTCGTAGTATGGGAGCTCTTGTATTTTCTTTGTCCACGAGACGACATTTGGATATTCGTTCCATTCATTGAAATCAGTCAGTGACAAAAGATGCACTGCCACATAGTAGAATATATCTGAAGTTGTGTTAGAACAAAACAAATCTATGTTAAAGTGCGTAAGAAGTAGGAAAGTTCTAAATATGTTTTTGACATCTTCCACAATTGTATTATATCCAGTAAATTAAAGCAAATTAAATATAGATATACATTTCAGTTTTGTTTTTCAAACATATTAATAATCGGTTGGTCACAGTTTTTTGAATAGAAATTATTGGAAATATATTTTTTATAGCTGGAAAAGCCAATATTGCATGTTACTTATGTGGTTCATATGTACAAACTTAGTTTATGTGTCTTGCTAATTTACATTAACTTACCTGCCAATGAAAAATGATCAGTTGCTGTGTAAGTATGCTTTTCTAGTAACTTCTCCACTATTCGTAGTGCTGATTTTGCGTTGCTAGTTTTTTCAGGTCTAATTAGTTCATTCGACAACAAAACGCCTCCAACATTCTGTGAAAAAATACTTAATACTTATCTTCTTTGTATATAACGGTTTTTTCTTAACAGTCTAACGATTTTTTCGTATTCATATTTTCCATTGATTTTACTTCATAGGATGATTTTACTAGGTTATCAGTCCTCCAGCTTTTTAAGCAAATCTGGGTCAAAGCAATACCAACTCGCTATTTGTCGATAGAATACGCTTTATAAAGTTGAGAAATTTTTAGGAAACATTTGAAGTTTTGTAATTTATTTAGGAATTTAATAGTAGACAGGGTGTACAGGGTGACCCCCAAAAAACGGACCCATAAATTTCCTAATTATGTTAGTTAATAATTTTGTTTACCCTTGAACTTTTGTTTGTGCATAATTGTACCAGGAATCCAGTACGCTTTGCACAAAAATTATGTCACCGACGCCGAGGAGGTTATTTGAAACATTATGGTGAGAACATAACTTTTGTGTTGAGCGTCCTAGACTACTGAAACGTTGTGGTATAATCATACACAGACAGAATGTTTAAAGGTAAACTATAAATTTGCTCGATTTTTGTAGAAGTAATTAACGAATTCATGGGTCCTCTAATAATAATTAGGTCACTCTATAAGTGAATATCATTACGCAAAAATTTGTTTACGTACAACGTGGCCCATGATTTCATCAAATACATGTTCTCCCACGTAAAGGTGCTGATCAATAACGGCTCTTTCTCTGAGGTCTGGTGGATAGAGTTGTTGCTTCTGAGTTTCCGATCCATACTGATTGATGAGATAGGTTGCTATTGCTCGACTGGAATAGTGTTGGGAAGGTGGTTATAAAGATTTGTCGACAAAGTATCAAAATGGTGATTTTTAGGGGAAAAAAATTGATTTCAAATTTGGCCTCTGGGAAAAAGATTTAAAACAAAAACAATAAGATAACAAGTCCCCCTAAAATTTTTATATACTCCAAGACAAAAATGTGACGATCAGCAGATAAATTGACGCCAAACACTGGTCACGAATTCTCAACTAACTCGATGAATAAAAAAGATACTTTGGAAATATATAAACTGATGTCAACATGGTTTTGGACTTGAAAAAATTCTGCTAGTTTAAAAAAGACTAAAATTTGGACCTAGTTTACCTAAACAAGCCTTTCACATTTTATTTGATTGAGTTGATGTCTCATTATTCAGTTTTTCAACCAATAGACTGAACCGCAAGTTTTAGTTTTGGGTCTACCACGCTTTAATTTTCGCGATTTTTTAGTGATTAAAATTTGAATAAAATATTTTTTCTTCAATCACCTATGCCAATTGCACAATGTAATTTTTCTCGAACTCGTGTCAGGTCGAGGAAGGAATCAGTACTTACCTTTCAGCTAAGCGTAAACCGTTATCTTCTATTGCAGGTACTTTTTGTCGGGGATTTATTTCTGCATACCAATTTGTTTTGTGATCTTTATTAATTAAATTGACGTATCGTTCTTCGTACTTCACTCCCAAAAGTTCCAGTACCATCCAAATAGCTCGAGATGGCGCGCTTGCATCCATGTAATAGAATACGATTGGTGACGTCATCGTTTTGATAATTTAAGTAAACAATTCTAGTTTTCAAAAACTAAAATGAAAAAAAGTTTGTCAGTTTGAACGGAGAGTTAAATTTAATTTCCAGATCCCATTCACTAATTTAAGTTTTTATTTTCTATTTTTTTTGTCTTGTCCTACAAGACAATGTATGGATTAAAATACCTTTCGAACCTAACGACTACAAGTTATTATTTTTCTTATGGGTATTAGGCTTATTATTCGCACACCAATCTCAAGATACCGGTCAGGATCAAAAAAATGTGTTTGTTTCTGATTAATAGAATATTTAAAATCTTTGACAAAGCGTTTGGTAAGCAAAATTTATTATTTAGAAACATGCTATGAACAAATTTATTGCTTACTTGATTCAAACTGAAGACTCAACTAGAATATATCAATCTATCGACAATGTAACAACACTGCTTTGTCCTCTAATGTTTTAGCTCTGTAGAATATTGCCCACAAACCTATATATATATATTTTATGAAAGGAAATTAATGGAAGTTTTTTGTATTAGATATAAGATGGTTAAAAACATCTAAGCATGATTTGGCTAAAATTATTGCCCTGAAGCGTAACACAAATGCGCTTGAAATGATCTCAAGACGTAAAACAATCACGCATATGAAGTCATATTTTAGTTTTAGATTAGTCAAATCATGATGTAGCATCAAAAATATTGTTGCTTCGAATCAATCAATATTAATTATTTTTTGCAATATCAGTATACCATGAAATCGTACTTATAATTCACGTGCCAAAAATGAAATAGAAACGTATACTGGGATAAAATTATGTCATTGGTTGAGCTTTTGGCAATCGTTTATGATCAATAAAAACGAATTGCAAAACCCATATTGAATGAAAATAATCTCACGCAAAAATGCTAAATTTCAACATTGCCAAACACTCATTTTTAGAGATTTTCAGAGACTCATGCCAGAAGAGATACTTCCGTCCTTTTTGAAGTCAAAGTAGACCTCTTTTAAAATTATGGTTATATAAAGATGAATAAAAAAAGAAATCGGTGCGTTTTATTTTGTTGGTCACCCTGTACGAGCAATTAAGTTAGATTATGTCATTATTACGATGATACTGAAAGTGCATTGGATGCCGCCAAGTCACGTTCGGCATCTTTTGCCAAAATCTTCAGCCGGATGTCGTATTACCAACTGTATGATTCAGCAACAGCTCGTTCAACACAAAAAATAACATATAAGCAAATTAGTTTAAATAAAAATAATAGCTACAACTTAGTAAAAACTGTTGTATGGGTGTGTTTTCTGTTTTGCAATAATTCACAAAAAGAAATGGTAATATTAATAGCGTCATTGAACTATTAACGGCATTATTAACTAACTAAAAACCAACTTTACGAATTGGGTCGTCTGACTGTTGCAGAAGTGCGTTTCCTTGTTTATATCCTCATGTCACAAAAAATACTTGATGTGAAGACAAAATTGCGGCATTGGATGGCTTTTCACTTGTCGCATCGCATGGATCACATCACTGGACTGGTATTCTGGTTCTGGGACTGAGAGTTACCTTCAACAGTCATCACACGTGCACAAGTTATCGCAATAATTAAGATTCCAAGTATAATTTAGAATAATCAATTTGATTTTAAACAAGAAAGATACGCTCAAATATATGGACACGTAGCGCCACCTATTGGCAAATTCGAATGACGTCACATAGAACGTTGAAAAACACTGTCCACTATAATGATAATGAATTGACGACGCAACTGTCGTTTCGATGTAAAACCATTGTCAAATAAATATAAATTGCGTTGGCTGATGCTTTCATTGTTCAAATCGGGCATAGCACATAAATAAAGCTACTGAATAGCTGTATAGGCAATGTTTACATCTTGTTAGATAATCATGTTGTACGTCATACTTATACCTAAATATAGTAGATACCCAATACTTGAAATAAGTCGTGTAAACGAAATGAAATACATATTTCCACCATAAAACCTTGTGAGTAAATATGAAGTCTGGACAACAGTTATTTTGTGCAGCAACCGGGAAACAGGCCGTGCCGTATCAAGTACCAAGCACATTTGTATTAGTTTAGATGTGATGTATGTAATTGTTATGAATAGTTTTTTTAAGCAATTGTCCTATTTGGAAATAATTAGTTCAATTTGGCATGTTTCAAAATGAGACAGGAATGAATAGATACAATAAGACCTTAACATAATCAGGAGAATCAATGTGCAATTATGATCCATCAATATCGAATCGTCTTGAAAGACTAAATATTTTTCAGAACAAATTGGAACAACAAAACGCCCACCTTAATAACCTAAATCGTACGGGTTTTGCAATTCCGCCAAAATAAAGCATTGAAATCATTGAAATATTTGTGTCAAGCAAGAGTTATATGTTCTGTTTACAAACGTTTTCGCGTTCATTCGCTTTCGACAATGATTCAGCGAAACCGATACGTTACGAATTAATTGTTGCGACTTGAATAGCAAGTTATTTTATTTATTTTATTACGGAGGATAAGCATTCATGCGGAAAATATTCAGCGTATCGTATAGACCGGTAGATTCCACAGAGAATACCTTCGAGTTCAATTCAGATTAAAGACTAGTTTTAAGTATGCAGTCCGACATATATGCTGGTACAGCGTTGTATATCAAGGATGACAAAATATAAGCGTAGTGTTATACCTCAAACGTAGCAAACGTACATAACACTATGATGTAAAAAAGGCAATCGAAATTTTCAGACAGGTGAGTTTCCTGTTTGATCAAGATTTGATTGAAAAGTATTTTGCTTATAAGACTGTGAGAGATCGATCAGCGTTTGCTTCATACATAAGATTACAAAGCATCTTTATAAGCATGCAGAGTAGAAAATTAATTGCTGTAGGAACATGTCTTAATATTAAGCTACTTGTGTACGTACCATAAGCTATGGTAACCTTTGCCCAGAATCAATTATACATTTAAATTACGACGTCGCTGTGAATTCTTCCTTTTTCCGGCTGTTTCGTAGAAAACAACTTACGTTTATTTTTGTGGAATCGAAATCAGTATGCTATCCAAATAAATAACTCTTCTAATTCCTCGTGCTTTAAGATGCAATGTAGTTCTTCACTTAGCAGATATAAGTTAAGCATTTTTAAAAATATTTAATTGTTTTATACAAAAATATGATTTATACTAATGGTGGAATGAAAAAAATTGCTTAAACTGCATCGCATCGTAACGATCAGTTCATTAAATGAATTGAGAATTGATCACGACAATATTGTATACGAGAATTCGTGGTGCGCGGAAATTGGGTCTAGCATTTGTTATGGCATCACTATGTACACACGTCGTATATCGGCGGTGTCTATATGGTATAAATTGATTTCAATGTCTATCAAGAAGTTGCAGTGCAGTACTACAGTAGTTGGTCACTAAAAGGTCGGTCTCGTTGTTTTGAAAGTTATAAAGCAAAAAACATTACTGAATGACAATACATATTTGCAGGTGTACATATGAAGAATAGCAAAGTAATGCACAGGCATAACAAAATCGTGGGGAGATGAAAGCCGATTATCTTTCTTTAGTACACATTTGTATGAAGACGATATTTGAGTCTTAACGGCGAAGCCTAATTTTAATGTGACCAACTACAAATATTTAAAAAACATCATATATATATATTATTAGACTTTAATTGTAATTTTGATCTTCCAGTTTCGCTAACGCCGCCGAACAATAAGACACGTCATCGTTAACATCGTTCTTATTTCCTTATTATATGTTATCTATTATATATTCAGCTCTGTATTTATAATTACAAATTACCGATGATGTCGGATCTTCATTTTTACTACATGGACGCAAGTGCACCGTCTCGCGGTGCCTGGACTGTGATAGAATTGTTGGGATTGAAATACACCGAACATATTATTAATTTAATAAAAGAAGAACACAAAACTGAGTCTTACGCAAAAATCAATCCCAGACAAAAAGTTCCGGCTCTGGTTGACGGAGATCTCCACCTATCTGAGAGGTGAAATATTCTTTAAAAATGAAATTCAAACACAAATATAATCACAAATTTTATATATTTAAACGAATTTCACATTTTCAGTCGAGCGCTTGCTACCTATCTGGTGAGTAAATACGGAACGCAATGTGGAAAACAACAACTCTATCCAATCGATGTCAAGCAGAGAGCATTGGTTGACAAACATCTTTACATAAGCGTGGATGTAATGGATATTGTCCAGAGTTATGTGGTGAGATACAGTTTGGGTCGAGAACCGAGATATTTAATTACTTAGTAATCTTACTCACTTAGTAATCAAATATTAATTGTGCTCTGTATAAGATTTCTTTATACAACAGAGACCTAAATCAAAGATGATTAAAGTAAAAGATAATTTTAGCTGTACACCACGCTTCTTAAAACTGTTGAAGTTAAATATGATTCATGTGCTATGCTTAATTCTACATTGTTTTTATTTTGTAATTTATTGTTTTGTTGTACCAGTGTACAAATATTGAATAATAATTTCAACAAATAACATGTGATATATGTTTTCATTTAGTGAAGTAATATCGCAACTTATGACTTGATCGTATCGAATCAAAAAATTGTTAGCTCTCGTCATCTAACACGTTTGTACACACAAAAGAATTATGATGTGCTCGTATATGGGGTCTGCTATGGGTGTAATAGTTTTACTGTTATTTTAATCAACTACATTTTTTCAAACAAACTACACTGATCGTTTCAGAATGTCGCTGGGGTTGTGTTGTATGGAGGTCAAATGCATCCAGAAAACTTAGGTGAGGTTGAAAAAGTTTTTGCCATGGTTGAATCATTTTTGGCTGGAGTAACCTACATGGCAGCAGATCATTTAACATTGGCGGGTGAGTTATCAAGATGATATAAATTTTATAGATTTATTCTATTTCATGCATTAATTTCTTATAATTTAATTAAGTTCAAACCATTTCCATATCATTTCGCCTTCTATCTCAATTGTAAAGATTGAGCCATTGTTTTTGAACCAGAATATTAAATATATAAAATCCGATGAACACAAAAGATAACATCTTCTGTCTAATCTATACGATCGGATATTATTTAGTCATATAAGCAACGTTCACATAAGGTATTTACAACATATCTATCATGTAAGCTTCAATTGGTTTATTTTTAAGATATTTTCTACTACGTTCCAATTCAACTGTTAACTTTGACTGAATTCGACGACTGGCAAAATTATCCAAACATCATGGAGTGGAGAAAAAAAGTAGAAGCGATTCCGTGCTATGATAAAACATTGGGCTCTCCTGTTGCGAACTTACGAGTTGCATATCAGAAAGCTCTGGAAGAAAACCCAAAGAAGAAACAATAGTTCAAATAACAAATATAGTATAGCATTCATTTGAAAATAACAAGTGTATTTTGCGCAGCATTTTTTTCGTTTTAAAACACTTTCATCTAAATAAGGTTTTTCACTAGGGCGACCATGACATTGTTGATATTCTGTGTAATAATAATTTCGATAACTGAGAAATGTTTGAATTAGTGTGAATGTGCGTTTTGGGCACTCCAGTAGTATGTGTACCAAGGGTTAGGTCATAATTTTATTCCGATTTCCCTTATTTTAGTTCTATTACGAGTTCGGGAACTGTCTGTGTCAGCCAAGTGAATACACCCCCTGCCCACAGGCTTCCGTTCCTTTACAAAACTAAATTAACAGCAAATAAACAGTTTAGATTCAGACAGTTGTCTTACAGAATTTGTAATTTTGAAGGTATTTTTATCTTGTCGTTGTCGTGAAATCAATGTGGTTTAGATTTAGTTATTAGAACATATACTTTGATAGAGCCGTAGTGGTTGTTGTCCTTTTTTGTTATTTATTCAAGACAAATTTTACAGTTTGAAGATATTTCTAACTCATAATCTTACGAAAATTATAATTTCGAATACATTGAGGATTTTCTAACATGCTTTATATTATGAGCATATTAGGGTTGCCATACCGTCCGGAAAATTCCGGACATGTCCGGAATTTAGGGTTGAATTTTTTGTCCGGGGAGAGTTTAAAAAATGCTTAAATGTCCGGAATCCGGAATTTTACTGCATCTGCAATCGTACTGCGCACACTGCTAACAAAGAACATTGTTATTTCGCACCGTGCGCATATTTTTGACTACGAGGTCATGAAAATAGTCATGAACTGTCCGGAATTTTGTTTTTTTCAAATATGGTGACCCTAATATAGAAGTATATTTAATTAGTATTATATTGGGATAAAATTTAGCGTTCTTATGAACATTATTTCATTCTATCAGATTGTAACATATGTTAATATTTTTCAATTCTCGACACTCGAGTATGCTTGTCATCTACTTTTCACGAGTTGATTTGTTTAAACGTCTTCGTGCGCTTATGCCTTGAGGGTTTAAATACAAGTAAAGCCTAATATTATGATCAAATAGGCGAAAAGTAATAAAAAATTGCAGTACACCGAAATGAACGTGATTATTTTTTATGGTGTTCAAAGGGTTCGATAAAAGCATAACATTTTCATCAAGAATGTGTATGTTATTTTACTATCGAGCTTCAAGAGGATTCTGCTTCGAAAAGGAGTGCTCAAGTGGTATGCGTTTCCTGTCTGCTGTCGATAGTTGAACACACAGCTGTATAGTATGCATGAATGCGTATATTCGTACAAAGTACAATTTGGCGGAGCCGAGCAACGGTACTATAAGGACAATAGTAGGACAAATTTTTGGTACAGTTGCACTGCTAGTAATGTTTAGATGAATTGCGCTATTAGAGTTACTAATATTAGTATAGTCGTCGTAAATCCTTCCAATGCTGAGTATTATTCATTGGAAAGTATCGAATCTATTGTTCAAATTGTAGCAAAAAAATACTGAATAGCTATTTGCATTTGAATGTGGGCTAGTGCAGTAAATATATTTAGTTTCTTAGTTACATAATCAACAACTAGCATGTCCGATCTACATTTTTACTATATGGATAAAAGTTCCACATCACGCGGCGTTTGGACCGTGTTGGAATTGCTTGAATTGAAATACACAGAACATTACATTGATTTAATAAATGGGGAGCATAAAACGGAATCTTATGCAAAAATCAATCCGAGGCAACTGGTTCCAGCACTGATTGACGGAGAACTCCACTTATCTGAGAGGTAAAATTACTTCTAAATTTAGCTAGATGTCAAAAAACAGTTCAAAGCCAAGTGTAAAAAACGAAACAATACTACGTGACTATAAGTGACCCCAATGTTTTAGCACAAAGATTTTGTTGCGAATATTGAAAGAAGAAACCATATAGTTAGGAATAAAATCTCGTATATATTATAATATTTTACGGACATTAGTAAATGCAAAAAATCTTCACTTTTTTAGTCGAGTTATTGCAACTTATCTTGTGAGTAAATACGGAACACAATGTGGACAACAACAACTTTATCCAACGGACGTGGAAAAAAGAGCATTGGTTGACAAACATCTTTATATTGGGCTAGATGTATCAGATGCGATCGGTGCCTTTGTGGTGAGAAACACTTCGATTTCACGATATATACCGGTAATTTACGATTTCCAACACGATTGTAACTGTTTATATCTATAGAACAGGGGGGTCCAAACCAATGCCCGCGAGCCACATGTGGCACGCCGCTTCATCATCAGTGGCCCGCGTCGCATTTGCGGGAGGGTGAACAAAAATATGGCATTTGATGTTGTTTCGTCATTATAAAATAGCCAGAAAAATTGTGTGATCCCGAATCTGTCAACCTTGGACCACCCTGGTCTAGAACCTTGTCGCAATATTGGTATTGATTACAGGGTTGGCTATGACTCGACAAGTGTCACTTTGTTCTTAACACTACAACAATATACCCGTTGATTGATATGCCACGCTCTATACTCACAATGCGATATTTGCAATGTGTTATATACTATTCTTGCCACCTAAACGTTAGAGATGTACATTGACCCTAATGCAATATATCGACACCCAAGGTTTTGATATTTATTTGCATGGTATACTATCGGGAATTACAGTTTCGTAAAACTGTTATTGGCTGCGAAGTGTACATATGAATCGATTTGTAAGCTATATATGAATTGATGGTGGGAAACACTAGACACTTGAAGCAAATGGAGTTACTTGAAACAATTTACAGTGTACGAGCAGCGACTTTCTTTCATATTAACAGCTATCATTTCAAGTACACCTCTAGAATAAGTACATTACTTGCGTGCGCACCGCCCAATACTTATATATATATATATAGTTGAATATCCCTATTTTATTCATCCCAAAACTTTTGCGGAATTTTTTTTCTATTATGATCAAAGTTAGAAAAATGATTGAAACGAAAAAAGCAATACCGAAGGATGGCCATGAAAACCTAAAATTTGTTGAAGTATAGACCAGTGCTTCCCAAACTTTTTTGACCATCGCCCCCTTAAAGTAGTTTATACAACTTCATCGCCCCCCTGTACTACAAAAAAATATAAAGTCAGAAACGAATACATTACAGACCAAATAAGAAGACAAATCATAGTTTATAGTGTTTTTTAATGAGATAGATAAGATTGGTGTTCTTCAGCGAGTTTTTTTATTATATCTAAAATTACCCCGTTTACTGATGGAAAGGTGATTTCGTTGTTTTAATAGCAGTAGTAGCAGGGCTGAAACCCCCCCTTTTTACCATATAATAGGTCGGAAATGAAAGAATCCAGGGTTCTACCTCCTCAAAAACCGCCGTGTACTCTTGCCTTATAGCATTTCACTTCCTAAATCCACCCCATTTCACATTAAAATAATAAAACCAAAGTTAATTTTCCCAAACTTATAATAATGATTTTCGTACATCTCATTCATTCGTACAGCCTGATGACCTGCACCAAAAAACTTCGGAAAAATTCATCCCCGATTCCTCATCCTATCACGGCCTCCAGTCCGATCACCAGTCCATAATTACCCAGCCATTTGTTTTTGGATTCATAGACTCGGATGTGGAAGAAGACGTGACTGACTATCGGCTACGGCCCAGGGGTCGGCAAATTTTATGTCGCTCGCAGGACAAATTCAGGGTTGCTAGTATTTTGCGGGTCGCATATATTTTTCGAAAGTTAAAAACGGAACAGCGCGCAAAAACTGCGACAATTCGTGAACTCAACTCAGTCGTCTTATTAAAAAAATATTACAATGACATTTAATGTGACACTGTCTTGTTGCTGCATCACGCTGGATAGCTTTACGACGCCAAAATTGAAACATTTTCTAAATGGGCATCACCAAACCCACTTTTTTGCTTGTTCTTTGTAATGTTCATTTTCGAAAATAATGGTTTGCACAAATACGTACTTCCAAACATCGAAGTGAATATTTTCGCATGATTTGTGAAATTTTGATAAATATTTTCTTTAAGAAGATACATTCTTACAAAAATTAAGCAGTGATCAATCTCTCGAATAGAATATGAATTTTATTTCCTTATTGCTTTGCAATATATTCGAATATTTACTGCGCTATTGAAGCCCTGCACTCAGCATCAACTTTTCTGCGTGTTTCCATTTGTCTAATTATAATTAAATTGTAGGCTCGTTAAACGAGTGGCTGTTCACTAAATTGTTAGGATATAGTATAATTCAGTATAAACGTGTCTCGCGATAAATTCTGTTACGTAAAAAAATGTAATTTACTCCTCGAGCGTAGATTATAAATAAAAAAAATTCATCGTCAAAACCGCCGTTTGGATATTTCCCCGGGCATAGACTTCCTTGTTTACTTCGTGACATTGGCCAATCAACAAGATGCAAAAAACGTAACAATGCCCCCTTTCGCATCCGCTCAGACACTCTCACTCAGACAGATTTTCAGGCGTGGTCGTGAACATTACCTCATTTTCGCGTTTTTGAATTATATTCGTTAGTTTTCAGTTGTTTTTCGGAAATTTGAATATAAATCAAATAAGTCAATGATTACTTTGTCTTTCTATGAGTTTCAGTTTAAATACAGCAATCAAAAATTAGTGTAGAAATAGCTGTGATAGACTAGGCTAAAATTCTTTATCAGTACTTTTAAAAAACAGATTGTTAAATAGTGTGTATTAGAATGATAGTTTGAAACAAATACCCCATTTCACAGGCAACAACTCCACTCTTAAAATAAGTACCGATAATTTTAAAATGGTAAAGTATGGGAAGAATTTTCCGCGGTCAAAGGTTAGGGAAAGGTCCATTCAGTGAATCGTCCCGGGCCAGATTATTTTATTCCGGCCGTATTTTGCCGACCACTGGGATACGCAAACTACCTTGCCTTACTGCGAAGACGAGACCAGAAATCCTTTCGCGTGTGAATATCGCCCACATGATTCAAGCCTGCCAATGCACACAGAGTACAGAATTAAGTGCGCCAAACATAAAACAGGTTTCGCAAAATCGCCCCCCTATCGCCCCCTAAGACTTTTTCGCCCCCCCTCTGTATCGTTTTCGCCCACTGGGGGGCGATATCGCCCACTTTGGAAATCACTGGTATAGACTACAGTAAATAGTTGATGCTGTTCCCTCATTACAAGCAAAAGACTAAAAATGTGGTACAAATAAAAGAAGAAATAATCTGAAATTTAAATTCACTACGTTCAGTATCTAGTGTTTAATTAACCAGACAGATTCGAAATAATTTGATAGAAAATAGGTGCTTCTAACGCAATACAAAAGAGGTTACAAGTGCCACTTACAACTACAAAATACCACCACATACTATACAATTTTTATAAGCTCTAGTTTGCGAAATTTTTTCGTCACAGTTTGGTCTGTTTTGCACCCACAGATTGAGAATGTTTCCACTAATGCGACCTTCGTACTTTCTTTCCTACGATAATCAATACGGAAATGTAGTGTACGCCTTGAGGCTGGAAACTAAAATGATTGGAGCTCAATCCGTGGTGTAATGGAATTACCTATAAAAATTAGCAAACTTTGGGGTGAAATGAGCAAGCCACGAGTAAATATAAAAAAAAATGGAAAAGGGAAATGAATAGCTCACAGAAGATGATTTCATCTGTACGATAGTAAACAGAAATCACACTGCAACGCGGTGTGCTTGTACTGTAGATTCGTCCGTCGAACACGGTTTGCATATCAGAATACAACGTTTTAAAGGCGGAATAGAAGCAGGACAGACTGCGCCAATCGCTAGCCCTTATGTTTTAACCTCATGTGGAAAGAAACCTTGTTTGAGTTAACAAATGTTATTATTGTTGCTCGTACTGTTTCGAAATGTATTGCATTAAGCTTCAGTAAAAGTCGCATTTCCATAGCGACCTAGTCAAATCAATTATGCATGGGTTTTTGTTGTCACATGTGAGCTTGCAATCACTAGAGTGAGCTATAAATAGGATTACTCTGAAGTTATCTATTGACTTGCAAAATCTTTCCCATCGATGAGACCAAACTCATTGTATTTTATATTTATTTTGACGGCTTCCCTTCATACCACAAAATATATTTTTGGGGGTTTTGCCGCTAGCTGGCATACGCGTACATACATTGTGGAAGTTCCAGTGTGGAAATGAAATCCCTTTTCAACAGCCCTTTTTTAATTAAACCTTTTTTCTATTGGTGAAATTCCCATAACCTATACGTTTTCGACAATCTTGAGTTGAATTAAACCAGTGTGTACATTCAAGTGTTGTCGAGTTAATGATAGCTTGCAGCAATATCCAAAACTATGTTGGGTATATTTGAATGTATGATCGATGTATTTTGAGTTGTTCTTCAGGACATTCTGGGGCTTCTAACTTAGGCATCTTACCAATTGATATCTCGTTTCCGGGGATAATTTGATGAATAAATTTTAAATGTTTCATGAGTATTTGCTAAAAATAAAGCACAATATGCCTATCGATTGTAATTTTTATGTAACATTATTTTTGACCAAAACATAATATTTTTTAACGAACCAATTGCTTTAGAATATTCACGACGTGATGCTAGCGGGAGGTCAAACAAATTCAAAAAAGTTAACTGATGTTGAGAAATTTCTTATTTTGATCGAATCAAATTTGACTGAGAGTCCTTACGTAGCTTTGAAGCATTTAACGTTGGCTGGTGAGTAGTCTTTATTCCAAAATTTTCGCAATCATATTTGGCAAAACTGCTTCAAGATCTTCATATTTATTAAACATATATATTGGATTTTATTCTCGACGATTCATTTTATTAGTCAACCCTAGTCCGATATTGCTTTGGGAATTGGGATCTGGTCCCGAATACCCGGTATAACCTTATTTTAAAGCGGATGATTGTATAGAGCAGGTGTGCAACCTGAGGCCTGCGGGCCAAATGCGTCCCAGAGAAAATTGTGCGACCCTCGTGGAAGTGCCAATTATGAATGGTGTGCCCGCGAAACGGGTTTATAATTTAGTCAAATCTGGTACGTGAGTAAATCCAATTATATTCCTATGACGTTACAATCCGGCCTTCCTATTTTAGAGGTTGCAAACCCCTGGTATAGAGCTCTCTTTGATAACCATGTTGGAAAAACATAAAACCAACGTGTAATTTACGACTATATAGCAAATTAGAAAATGAATCGATATACCTCTTGTAGCAGCAACCTACTTGGGTAGAAATGTTTCCAGAAAGTAGAAAAATACTATGCTATCTAAAAATACTATCTACTGCATTATTTCATTTAAATTTTTCAATATATTTTCAAGACATTTTCTACTATATTGCGATACAACTATTAACATTGACCAATTGGGACTATTGGAATAAATATCCAAACATATTGGAATGGAAAAAGAAAGTTGAAGCGATTCCATGCTACAAAAAAACCTTGGGTTCACCAGTTGATGACTTCCGAATCGTTTATCAGAAAGCTCTTGAAAAAAATCAGAGGACAAGTAAGGAAGAAAAGAACGAATGTATTAGCATAAATGCAAATTTGTAAATTGAATATTGAAATCATACAAAAAAAATCGAGTCTCTACAATACAAAGTTTGGAATTCTCGTTTTAGGTGTTTAAGTTAGAGCAATTCATAGTAAATTTATGGAAAGAAGCGGACGCTCTGAGGAAAACATTCAGAGCTGATTAATTCCAAATTCCCCGTTAAAGAGGCGCTAAGTTTGCCATACTGGTTCATATGCTTGTTGCCAAACAGCAATTTTGCACCCCATTTCTTGGGTTAATCTTCTTGCCATTCTGTGGGTTGAGGAAAAATGCAACAATACCTAAATTTTACTACTTATTCATACTATGTTTTCTAAAGAAATGAACGCTCTATGATGAGTACATAAAAAGCAAATCAAAATTATAAGTGTATATTTACTTTTGAGACACCCTGTTTAAGGGGAATCTTTCAGGGGTCAAGGATCAGAGAAACGTCCGTAGAGTATATCGGTATGAATGACGCTACAGTGTTTATGACATAACAATTTGAAGATGGAGTGGTTATATGGTCCAAATCGTCATTTGACTGGCCACCCCTGGCATATTGGGCTGCCATATTTCACAGCAAAATGTATATGGCGGCCGAACAAGACTGACAAGTGCAATGTTAATGTAAATACTTGTTCCTAAACAAGCGTACCATGGTAAAAGTGTTAATTAAAAGAAAGTAAGTACAACCAAAAAGTTAAGCTAAACATAAGAGTAAAAAAGAGACATATGGATTCAGAGAAGGGAATTTGTAACTAAAGGCAGTGGGACATACAATTAATCTGTTCATTCATCGCAACTTAGCTATATAGTTTTACAAGTTTTCTTCAGAAAGTGTATAAAGGAAGGGGACAGCAAAACATTTTGTGAGTAGACAAGTCATATAAATGCTACTTTGCAGTTTATCCCTTACTTGGATGGTAGTGACTTTAAGGCGGCTGAAAACCGATCGTAGTTAGATTCCCTTCCAATCTCCAGCATTATAAACGGTTTCGGTAATTCATATGCACGGGAATTCGGGAAAATGGTACACAATTCTTCCAGAAATTACAATATTCCTACGCTTACGGATCAAACTGGTGCTTCTGTGACGAGTTATAATGACAAGACAAATCTACCGGGGTCTACATTTCAAACAGCAAGCGGTATTGAAAAATACAATAATTAGTTTTTGGATAGAAAAGGAAACGGCGAGTTAGTTATATATCAAGTAGTGGTAAATTTTAACCTCGAATATAAGAACTATCTGCTCGAAACACAATCTGGTTTCAGGGCGAATAGATCAAGATTGGAGATTATTATTATTTTGCATGATGATCTATATATAAGGCTTATTCAAGCAAGCGATACGTAATTGTAGTGTTTATTGATATTGAAAAAGCTTATGTTATGATTTGGCGTGACGGACTAATTTATAAACTTCATAACCTTGGTATGAAGGGTCGGATCTTATCTTGGATAAAGTCATTTTTATCAAACCGGGTTTTCCAAATACGGATCTACTTATCCTAACAGTTTTAAATTTGAAAATGGGATTGTTCAAGGTAGCGTGATAAGTCCATTGCTTTTTACAATCATGATAAATGATTGTCCAAAAACATTTGCAGATGATTGCCAAATAGGGAGATTGGTTTAAAAATCAACAATTTTATATCGTGTATCAAATGACATTAAATCAAATCAAGTCGTTGTGTCACGCGTGGGAATTTAATATCTGAATGACTAAATCGTGTGCTGTATTATTTTCAAGATCACGTGAGCCTCCACCATTACATTTCTACATTGATGGACAATGATGGCCGGTTAAAACCGAATAAAAATACCTTGGCGTTCTATTCGACAATACGTTGACGTAAAAAGCTCATGTAGAACATGTAACCCACAAATGTGATAAAAGATTAAATCTGTTGAGAGTTTTGACAGGCCAAACATGGGAGCTTACAAAGAAACCTTTCGTAAAATACACAGGGTCCTAATTACTTTGCACCAAAGTATGTAATTAGAAAAATATCGCTAATACAAAATATATCTCTTCGTATTTGCTGTAGCGCTATGCCCAGCAATCTGTTGTCAAATTAATTAAATTTTGTCACCAACATGCTTGCATGAGGTATATGAGTAAAGTGTTATTGATTACGGAATATCCGAAAACCGACATAATACAACGAACATGGCACGAGCTTTATCCAAAATCACCCTTATTTAGACCTTCAACATGCTAACCACATCGGAAGTTTTTGGAAAATTTCGGTCAATTGTGTACAAGCTTTCCAGTCACCGCCGTGGGAAATGAAACCTCCAAATATTGATTAATCGCTTGCTAATATTATTTTAATTAAAAACCGATCCCTTTTCTATAAGTATAAGCATGTGATGAATATATTACCGAGAATTACGGTCAATACTTATTAATTTATAAGGAACAAAGACGGCCCCAGGATGTGGTGGACAAAATGTTAAGTTTGTTCACAACTGAACTTTATGATGTATACAGAGCATTTACTTTGGATAGTTTTGCACCGGCCGTCTCATGTTTTTATTTTAACCGATTGTCTGGGCCTTTTTCATAGATTAAGTAAAAAAAAATCTGTGGAACATATGCTTTTTTAAATAAAAACTATTCTATCTCCTCTAAGAAGGCAAATATTTTCATGGATTTCGCGTTCCCAGAAGATGTTGGAATTGCTGGCAACGAAAAAGCAGACTAAACCACTACTAGATATCCCCCTATGTAAACATTTTAAACTCAACAAGGCATATGCCTTAATTAGTATTGTGATATATCTTTTTTAGTCATAAAATAATAGGTATAATACATGAGGTATACATGAAAATAAAACTTGTTACTCGGTTCCTTTAACTCAAACAAACTCAAATAAACATCAATATCAATCACGGTAGATAATTGAGATAACAATAGAAACAACAGGTGAAACAACTAGAAACGTTTCCACTGGGTATTCTTAAAAATAATACTTGTAGAGACATTTCTCAAGCGAAAACTGACTCAATAATATGCAATATTTGATAATAGGTCTAACTCTCTCGTTTGGATCTATGAAGCTATTTCGTCAGTAAACTTCATTCCTTCTTGCTTGACAGAACATGTTGATAATATTGACGAAATTTTGTCATCGGTTCGTCACATGTTTTCTTATGGTAGGGAAGAGATTGCATTTTCTTTTTCCATTCAACAACTTTTGGAAATTTATCGAACTCGTCAAAGTCAGTTAGCGATAGAAGTTGAATGGCGATGTAGTAAAAGAAATCTGCATGAAAATAGTGAAACATTACTATTAGTGTTTGGTAGATATGCAATGGCCGGAATCTGGAGGATGTATTATGAAAATCGTAAATAATTGCATTGTTTTCTCATATTTCTGGCACGAATCGAATCAAAATTAGTTCACAAAAACATAAATAGTTGAATCCGTTCAAATACTTCAACAGATTTTGCAAATTGTCCCAAAAAACTTCGCCCTGTTCTCAACTTGCCCATATAATATATTTGAACAAATCTAACGAATATACCAAATCGTTATCACTTGTATTTGTTTGCACAAAAACTCTTTCGTTAACACCTTCAAATATCTTACCGGCGATCGTTAGCTTATCTCCCGCCGTGTAGGCGTGGTCTTCCAACATGAATTCTATTGATCCGAGAGCGGCTTTCGCTTCATCAACTTTCTCCAATCTTGTTTTCTCTCCTCTGAACAAAACCCCGCCTACGTTCTGAAAATGAGTATGTAATATAGCTTTGTGCGGAATTTTTGGGGTGTATTTAGCTTATAAAACGAAATCAAAATAACTCACTACATAAGCTTGAATCTGATCAAAAATATTTTCACCGATGTAGAGATGTTGGTCGATTTTTGCTCTTAGTTTAGATTCTTGTGGATAAAGGTATTGTTTCTTCTGTTGGGCACCGTATTCACTTACAAGATAGGCCGCAATAGCCCGACTGTTAAAAAAAATCAATAAATTAATTTAGTAATACGTTTGGATATCTTACTGCCAACACTATATGCTACGAATTACCTTTCTGCAAGACATAAGTCGCCATCTTTGATTGCCGGAACCTTTTGGCGAAAACTGATCTTTTTGTAGTCAGCAGTCTTGTGCTCGCCCTTTGAAATATCGACAATATGCTCATTATATTTGATTCCCAGTTCTTCCAAAGTCATCCAAACTGCACGCGATGGTGGACTTACAGTGAAATAGTAAAAATCAACGTTGCAAGACATTGTTAATTTTTTTTATAATATTATACTAATATCGATGAAAACCTAAAAAATATTATAAAATTACTACCAAGCTTTTAAAATACTAATCAGTATACAAATATATTCTAGAAACACTGCTAAGCAGATAAAAATTGTGACCAAGATTTATCGATTCATTCAACTTAAAAAATGGAATTGCTTCCCGGACAAAATGACAATGCGCGGAGCTTCTAACAGCCTGTTATCTGAACCGGGACCACCTTTTGCATCACGCCCTCAACTGTAACTGCTGATTTTTCATCGTATTTGTCCCCATATATACCATTTATCGCCCGATTCTAGAAGTTACAAAAATGTCTTCTCACATAAAGCTGGCGTGCAAATTATGCTTAGTCATTCTACCGAATGAAAGATTACAATGTTTTGGCTTCTGATATAGCACGGAGAAATAGGAGAAAAGATTTTGAGAGAAATAATAACAAATATAAACCTCATACGACATTTCCTTTCTGGTTAGCACTTATTCACCTTATTAGTAAGTTGAAGGCATATTTTCAGTCTTGAAATATATAACCATTTTAATCAAAAGTTGCAGGTTCAATCCCAAATATTGTCAAATTCCAACTTATTTAAAAGAACTTCATTTATTATTATGTATACAAAAAGACATTGATTATAACTCTGACATTTAAACAGTTGGCTGGTCACCATATAAAAACTATTTTAAGCTTAAGCTACTGCTAACAGTCCATCTAGTGACACTTCATTGCTCAAAGAGTGACACGTTTCTTGGGAAAATCAAATATTAAATCCACGATATACCACTTTAGAGAGAAAAGAGAGAATGCTAAATGGTGGCGAGTAAATTTAAAAGTTTTGAAATCATGATTGCGTGACATTCTTTCATTGAGGCATGTAGTGACCGATTCTATACAAAATTTGGATCGACACAAACCAAGTTTGGCCGAAAATATTTACTTACCTATGGCGTTAAAGAAAATGATCAATTATCAGGCTTACGACTTAACTGATTGTATAATTTGAAAATTTATTTTTTATTTTAAGTAAATTCCTGTGGGCGGAAATTTTATAAGGTTAATTTATGAAAACTTTGCAAATTTTCCATTCGAGTATACGGAATTAAGTGAAATTATCGTTGTCAAGTCGAAGTACTGATTTGCTCTACTAATGCGGTACTAATTCGATTATTCCAATAGATCATGGTATGTTTTTGAACAGATTGTTGCTACAATACGTATTTCTAGTAAGTTTACTTAGTTTGTTGTATTGAACCAACTATACTGTCAAAAAACACGCTGTGCAAATTTAGATGAGCATATCGCGTTCTGCTCTTTGAGAATGGACACTTTTTAAACAAAGCGTCGACGAAATATAAAGCGTTCATCATTCCTTTAGACATCCCCTAAAATGTATGTCATTGTAGTATGAATTGGCGAGATAATCAAGTAAAATACAAACTAAGAGATGGAAAAAATTTCCTGGATTTTCTGTACAACGTGATGTTTATGCTATCAGGCGTCGATACCCTTTTATAGTATCAAATACAGGGGTGCATGACAATTTGCTACTCCGGTGGTATTATTCTTGTTCAATGGCATTTGAATCTTATAATATTCTGCTGCGTGTATGCACACCAAACAAATTTCCCATTAATCATTTTGGTCGAAATGCATTTGCAAAAAATTTAACATTAAATCGTGCCATTGAGTGAGTTGAGACTTGAGAATTGGGACAATTGTCTAAGTGTAGAAATAATTCTATGTTCTACATGCTTGTAATTCATGATGGACAAAAAAAATTATCTTTCAAAATTCAAACATCGTATTTGTAAAATAATACTCTCAATGGGCTACATATATCTACGTTATCTGAACGCCACTTTGAATTTTTAAAAATACATATAAAATAAGAGTTGAAGATATGTGTCAAAGAATCTTCTAGCAAAAATTTATTGTCCACTTACACACTACGTTGATAAATTTATGCAAAGTCATTGAAATCTGTTTTTAAAAATACGTCATGCATCAATTCATTATTGAGAAATTCAGAAGAAAACGCCTTGGGTCATTTATCACAATGTGAAATGGTTTAGCCTCAACCGCATGGGAAGGCTGTGAATGAAACTGAAGAATGTTACGTAGTACCTAGCTCAAAGAAGCATTTCAAAATCTCGAGCCGTTAGTATCGTCTATATCTAACACTGGCGATTACGCGCAACTCGAGGGTGTATATATGCAGCCATATTATTCATACAAATCCAACTGATATGCGTGTACTGCCAAGCTTCAGTATTGGATAAATTCTTCAGAACGATTATTCACAAGTTCATGACAGGTAGTTTATGGCTGGCGTAAAAAAAAAATATATATATATACATTAAATTTATATGATATCCAAAACGATCGACGTTTGTTGTAATTGTCTTATCAATCAGTGACACTGGCGTTTAGTAGGCGTACATGCAATTTCAGGATCGTGATTGCAACAATCATCTCGTTTATTGTTATTATACAAGATTTGATATTTATGCTTGATGAACGTTGAAGCTCTTTTTGCGTATCTATTTGTGTTAATATGACACTCGCCATTATATTATAAGAAACCGAAATAAACGAAACGCCGAAAAATGAAAGCAGTGAGTGTGTAACAGAATATTTTTTAAAATAGAAATTAGATTACTTTTGTAACTGTTTTTATTGGACTGTATATATATATTTTGGTAGCATGTGCATAGCAAATTACCAACTTTATTGTAAAAAAAATTGACTTTCAATCGCGGCATATGATGGTTACAATTCTTAAGAATCATCATTTTCAAAATATAAACTAAAATTTATCGTTTATTGAGTATTATTAATATTTGAAGCAATGATAAAAAATAATAGTTACTGATAGCTTCAATAAAAAGATTGCCGTAAATTTGTCTAAATGTTCATTATTTCTCAAAAGTTGATGGAACTGTGAAAACTAGAGCCAAGTAACGTCTAATTTCATTTGCGTCGCATTGATTTATTTGATCAAACTGCTTATCCCACGTAGGACTTGGTCAAGTGACCGTTCACATTTGACCAGTGGGTTTCATGTTCACGGGTCAGAGTATACACACAATACTATTCGGCTTAGTTTCTGGTAGAGGGAGTTTCGTTACATTAGAACTACTAAAGTATAATATTTCAATAAATGATACACCTGAAAAATCCCTAAACATAGTGTTATTGTACTACTGATACGGCCAAAACCTAAACTGAAATAAAATATATTTCGTATACACAAACATTTTCACTGAATGTCAATAAAGTTTAGTTTATTTCAATGCACGATAATATAGCAATTAATTTATTATTCAGAAAATTTGACATAATTAGCAAAGAGTGACTTGACGTTTTTATTTTCTTTCTGGATTACTGGCTGATTTTGCACAATATTCCTTGTACAATTCTACGAACTCTTTTACACCCTTTGCGTGACATTCTTCGAAATAAGGTAATTTCATCAGGTCACTTTTCCATTTAGCAATAGCTGGATATTTCTTCCAGTCTGTATCTATGACTTCCATGCAACTCACCGTAGTAAGAACGAAAAAGTCTAAAAAAAATCACAAAGCAATGCTTTCGCATTCTACAAAAACGTCCATTATGCAATCCTGCCTTTTTGATCTACATCCGCGATTCTCGAAGATGGCAATATCGGGGTGGAGATACAATATGAGCCGTATAGGAGCGATGGCGAATTTCAAATTTTGGCAAAAATGCAAAATGTTATATAATGGTTCAGGAGCGCCAAGTTTTTTTTAGCCAGAAGTATCGTTATTGAGGAGTCAGTTTCGTTCAGCCATTATATAATAAAATGAAACAAGTTGAATTCTTTCATTTCCAATTTAGATTTGGAAATAAGGTTTTTTGATGCGACGGTATCAAAACTATCAAAGAAATTGCCTTCTCAACAGTAAATGAGTTATTTAAGATTGTAATTGACCACAATCTCTCCAAATATTAAAATGTCGTTGAAGATCATCACGCATACCCATATCTTAAACAAAACACCTTGTACTATGTATGTAGTTTTCTTCGTTTTTTTTTTTGATATTTTTAATATTAATATAAATACATTGTTGATTCATAATTTGAACGTTCAAACACAACAAAAACAGATGAAAATTTTCGCATACCAAGAAGGGTGAGGTGATTGCCAAAAACATATTGTTTTCCTGATAACAGCTTCTCGACTTCCTCCAGAACTGCGATTGCTTTCGGCAAAAGATTTTCTTTCGGACCACTGGCGGTTCCGACAAATATTTCATCACCATTCTATAATGGATTGTTAATAAATTTCAAAGCCGTTGATAAGGATAATCAAAGAGGATAATCTCTATGAAGATGGTGACAGTAACGAAAATGGCAAATGAGGCAAGTCAAGTATAGATAGAATGACGAAGAATATTTGATGAATACCATAAGTTGATAGTTGAATAAACAATAATTTACCAAGTACTTTAACAGAGTCTGATAGTTGTCAATATCTCTGAACACCAATCTGTTGAAATTGGCAATCTCGGCCACTCCTGAGCAAGGATACAGTCTCTCCGCTTTGTCTTTCGGTTCATATTTGACGCAAAGATACATTGCAATTGCACGACTGTTGAAAAATATCAAATAGTCATATATATATAAATATATAAACATATTTGTAATTGACTATCTTCAAATTAGAACATTAAATAATGACTACGTGTTACTATACAAAGCTATCAGCAACTAATAATATATATTAATTGTAAAATGCTAATGTGCATTGATGCGAGTTTACCATAACACGATACAGCAGATTTCCTAAACCTATTTACTTATCGCAAAAAAAGTTTCTATGATTAGCCTTATTCATTCCAAAAACATGCTTAGTCGAAATAAAATCAAGATCAACAACGCGATATTCACCAAACCAAAATCATTGACGACTCTTGGAATTGCACACTTACCTCTCCGATAAAGTCAAATCTCCATCTATTATAGCAGGAACAACTTTATACTTGTTTATGGCTGTATAAGCTTCTTTATTATTGTCCTCGGACAAAAGATCAACTAAATTTGCCTTGTGTGGAATGTTGAGTTCCTTTAGTACCATCCATACTACTTGCGACGGTGGGCTCAGAGGGTGATAGTAAAATTCAATTACCATTTTTAGTATATTTTGAAAAAATTCTGTCCAATGAGAATAAGTCTGTACAGAAAAGTATTGCTTAAATGTCAGTGAATGTATTAACAAAGTTCCCAACAAATAATAAAAAAAAAATATACTGAATATCAATTTACTGAATATTGATGAATTGCAGAAAAACAGCTCATTTTGGGTCGAATATCGGACCGGTAGGAATCGAAGAAAAGTCTAAAAAAAAATAGTCTTCTGGCAACTTCCTCCGTGTTTGAGTAATTGGAATCATTCGGTCTATTAATAGCTTAATAAATTGATTTCTCGTACTCCGACTAAAACATCATCTGTGGCAAAGCGAACCGTGCGTCCACTTCGTGTGCAAAATATAAAGACTTGATGTAGCGAAAGGAAGTATTTTTGTCGCATTGCAAGAACAGCAGGTTAGTAAAATAAAATGTTGTCAATTAAAATGAGTTGCAGAATGCGAGAATCTTGATCTACGGAAACCAATTCATTTAAAAACACAAACAAGGAACTTGCAAACGTATCCTACCTGGGGTTTCCTTCACTGTATGCAGCAAAACTATTGAATATGTCATGAACTTTAAAATATAGCTCAAAAACTTTTTGCGACTGATGCTCAATGAATCATTTACAGTTTGCCTTATCTCCAATGCCGAACTGTAGTTCAAGTATAAACACTGTTACGTCGAGCTAAGGGATATTAATTGTGATATTCGTTTGGGTGTCTTTAAGACTATTCAAAAACTACAAGGTTAATATTTGAAAGAACGCAAATAAAGTCTATTCATAGCGATGGCGTCCCAGTCACGAGGAAAGCTCAACTTATGAGAAATAGGTCATTTGTTTAAATAGTCAGCAAGAAAGTACGAAATATAAAGATTACAGACTTATTGCACAATTTTGATTCACGCTCGTCAAAGCGATGGCGTCCCAGCCACGAGGAAGGCTCAACTTATGAGAAATAGGTCATTTGTTTAAATAGTCAGCAAGAAAGTACGAAATATAAAGACTACAGACTTATTGCACAATTTTGACTTACGCTCGTCAAAGCGATGGCGTCCCAGTCACGAGGAAGGCTCAACTTATGAGAAATAGGTCATTTGTTAAAATAGTCAGCAAGAAAGTACGAAATATAAAGACTACAGACTTAATGCACAATTTTGATTTACGCTCGTCAAAGAAGACTCTTAGAATACATCAAGCCACAATTATTTTATCAAATCGCAGTTTCATGCTGAAAAATTCGCAAGAAAAACAGCATTTTTGAAATATAAACTAAAATTTATTTATTATTCGATATTAATATTATTAGAAGCAATGGTACTGGTATACAACTATAATTACTGATAGTTTTAATAAAAAGATTGTCGTGAATTTGTCACGATGTTCATTATTCCTCAAAAGTTGATGGAAATCTAAAATTAGTAATGGGTGAACTTTTTATATTTTAATAAATCTTACTTCTGGAAAATTCTTAACCATAGTGTTGTCGTATTTACACCAGCCAAAACCTCAACTGAAATATATGATAGCCTCCATATACACAAATATTTTTACTGAATGTCAATATAGTTTAATTTATTTCAATGTACGATAATATAGTGTTTGCAATTATTTCATTATTCAGAAAATTTGACATAATTGGCAAAGAATGTGTTGACGTTTTCACTTTTTTTGTAGATTGCTGGCTGCTTTTGCACAATATTCCTTGTACAATTCTACGAACTCTTTTACACCCTTTGCGTGACATTCTTCGAAATAAGGTAATTTCACCAGGTTGCTTTTCCATTTAGCAATAGCCGGATATTTCTTCCAGTCTGTATCTATGATATCCATGCAACTCACCGTAGTACGAACGAAAAAGTCTGAGACACAAAAAAAAACAATGCTTTCACTTTCTACAAAAACGTTACCGAGAAGTGAGTTTCGTTCAGTTGTAGAATTTATGTCATAAACGGTAACAAGTTGAATTCTCTTATTTCCAATTCAATTTTGAAAATGAGGGTTTTTCTACGTGACGGTATCAAAACTATTAAAGAAATCGCCTTTACACCAGTAAGCTAATTATTCAAGATTGTAATTGACCAAAATTCCTGTAAATATTAAAATATCGTTGTAGATCACCGCGCACATCCACATCTTGAACAAATAAAAAAAAATTGCACTTTACGATTTTGCTGTGAATGGATGATGATGTACTGTATAGAGTGCTGTAAGGGGCGACAACATAGAAGTTTAAGAACCGCTGGTCTGGATCATTGTTGGTTTCGGGTTTGATCTATCGACGCAAACGCGCATTTTGGCATAATTCATTATGATGCAAAATAATATAAACACAAAGATGATGAGGACATAAATTGAAGTTCAGACACGACAAAAACAGATGAAAATTATCGCCTACCAAGAAGTGTAAGATGATTGCCGAATACATATTGCTTTCCTGATAACAGCTTTTCGACTTCTTCCAGAACTGCGGTTGCTTTCGGCAAGAGATTTTCTTTCGGGCCACTGGCAGTTCCAGCACATATTTCATCGTCATTCTATAATGCATTTTTAAATTTGAAAGTCATTGTTTAGGGGCACAAAAGGCATAATCTCTATCTATGCAAAATAACGCTGATGGTTACAGTGGAGAAAATGTCACATCAGAGGCAAGTACAGTAGAGGAATAATTGATAAATAACATAAGTGAATAGTTGAATAAACGACAATTTACCAAGTACTTTAACAGAGTCTGATAGTTGTCGATGTCTCTGAACATTAATCTGTTGAAATTTGCAATCTCGGCCACTCCTGAGCAAGGATATAGTTTATCCGCTTTGTCTTTCGGTTCATATTTGGCACAAAGATATATTGCAATTGCACGGCTATTGAAATAATATCAAATAATCATATATATAATATGCTGTTTCGTCTTAGGTATAGAACATGCTCAGTCGAAAAAAATCAAGAAACCACTACAGCTCAAATCAGACATATATTTAAAGCACGTCAGACGCAATATTCATCAAACAAAAATAATCGACGACTCATGGAATTGCACACTTACCTCTCCGATAAAGTCAAATCTCCATCTATTATTGCAGGAACAACTTTATACTTGTTTATGGCTGTATAAGCTTCTTTTTTATTGTCCTCGGTCAAAAGATCAACTAAATTTGCCTTGTGTGGAATGTCGAGTTCCTTTAGTAACATCCATACTACATGTGATGGTGGGCTTAGAGGGTGATAGTAAAATTCTATTACCATTTTGAGTATCTTTCGAAACAATTCTGTCCAACGTAAATAAGTCTGCACAGAAAAGTAATGCTCAAATGTCAGTAAATGTATGGACAATGTCAGTAAAATTCCCGACTACTAAGAAAACAAATTTATTGATTGTCACATGTCCAATGAATTGCAAAAAAATGCTCATTTGGGGTTAAATATCGGTCAAGTAGGCATCCGAGAAAAGTCGAAAGAAATTAAAATATTAGCCTGCTGGATACTTACTCTATGTTTGAGTACGGGTAATTGGAATCATTCGGTCTATTAGTAGCTTAATAAATTGATTTCTCGTACTCCGACTAGAACATCATCTGTGGCAAAGCGAACCGTGCGTCCACTTCGTGTGCAAAATATAAAGACTAGATGTAGCGAAAAGCAGTATTTTTGTCGCATTGCAAGAACAGCAGGTTAGTAAAAAAAATGTTGTCGACTAAAATGAGTTCCAGGATGCGAGGATCTCGATCTACGGAAACCAATCCATTTAAAAACACAAACAATGACCTTGCAAACGTATCCTATTTAGGGTTTCCTTCATTGTATGCAGCAAAACTATTGAATATATATGTCATAAACTTTAGAATATAGCTCAAAAACTTTTTGCGACTGATGCTCAACGAATCTATAGAAGTCTTGTTTGCCTTATCTTTAATGCCTAAATGTAGTTCAAGTATAAACACTGTTACGTCGAGCTAATGGATATTAATTGTGATATTCGTTTGGGTGTCTTTAAGACTATTCATAAACTACTTGTTTAAAGGTTAACATTTGAAAGAGCGCAAATAAAGTCTACTCAGAGCGATGGCGTCCCAGTCACGAGCAAGGCTCCACTTATCAGAAATACTTCATTTGTTTAAATAGTCAGCAAGAATTGCTATAGATAAAGACTACAGACTTATTGCTTAATTGTGATTTACGCATGTCAAAGAAGACGTCAAGCCACAACAATTTTATCCTATCGCAGTTTTATGCTAACAAATTCATTAGAAAAACTTTTGAGGCTCTGGGAGATAATTGTGCGGCTGTATTATATATATTTATAAACAAAGCTTGGGTCCGCACATGTCGAACTGGTCTTTTTTATATGAATAATTCCGGTTATGTCTTTATTGTATGACATGTTCCATCTAGTTGATATTCATTCAAATTAGAAAATATAAATGTTTAGCCTACATTGTTTGTCTTTTTTTGGGTAACTTTATCCGTCAGTGGGTCAAACAAGCCTAAAGTGATGCAATTGTACGCGAGAATATAGCAAGATGGTATTGTCCCACCGAGTGATTTGTTAACCTTCCTCTTAGGTTTACAGTTACAAATTACATCCTCTGATCTACTTAACTATTTCCATCTCACCCTAATCACATCCCTCTGTGCCGCACACCATCGTGTAGTCGATACAGTTTAAGGGTGTTGCTACTGTGGTTGTATATGAATCAGATAACTCAAGGGTTCCGGATTGGTTGCTTTAGTGTACGGCAACTCCACAATTAAAACCTATAACAGTCAAACAAAACATCATCAAAGAACTGAGAACGCGAACGACCGCCACCGCAGCGGCCGGAGAAAAGGAGCGAAAGACAGTTTTTCTCTCACGTGTAGTTAGTGGTCGGAGTCCCGATTCGACAAAACAGCATCGAATAAGGGTCAACATAACAGTTTATAAACATAAAAATATATATACACACAATATAAACACGGACTCTATGGTCCGTGAGAGAGTTTACTTCCTCGAAAATATACGAGGTCAGTATATCACACGCTTATTGGACATTTTGAGACTACTAAATAATTAGGTGTGGAAAAGATATGCATAATAGATCCGTTTATACACAAGTTCGCTCAGAACAAAATCCTGGAGCCTCAACTAAAGGAAAATATTGATATCATTTTGCTGGGTAATTCCCATTTTCTCTCATATCCATGCATCTGAAACAGTCGGCTCTTTTCTTGCACCTAATTTACGGACAAGAGACCGCGATCTCTCATATGACCAAGCCGTATCGACAGCAAGACTCTTCCACATGAACATTGCAAAAATCTTATTTTAATCTTCCATTCTACAACGAAATAAATCAAATTCAAAACCATGATGCAGTAATTAACATAGGCCCATGCCTGCCAAGTTATGTAATGACAAGCGTTCATGATTGATTTGAAAGTTAAACATGATTGCGAATTAATAATACGTCAAGATATTTCTAGGATAAAATCCTATGTGATGCAAATAAATTATAAGATCATGACTGATGAATAATGCTAATATATAGAAGAATGACATATCAAAGTTTCCAGAATCATCTTTCAGAGACGACGAAATTTGAGGATATCATGTCTTATTAAAAGGAAATTTGCTGTCAGTGTCTTTAAACAGATACAAAATTAGTCAGTATTTTGAAAAGTAATCGAATAGCTCGCGGAGCCCCTGGGTTCCTCTCGCGGAGCCCTGAGGCTCCGTACGGAGCACTTTGAGAACCTATGCTCTAATGTACCGCCACGTGTATGGATGTTTCCCTGACCGTTGATCCCAGAAAATTCTTTACTTTGGAACATTTTTGATGTTTACTTTCCGAATGTTTTGGATGGCCGGCGTTTAAAAAAGTGATTTGTATGTTCAAAACTAGTTGGGTACGCGGGACGAAAGCAAGTGCAAGTGGGACAAATAATATTTTTTAGACACCTATTTGATTTTTGATGTTATTTTTGCCGTTCGTACGCTGATTTTTGCTAAAAGAAAATCGCTTCTCGCCGAAACTAGTTAACCATTCGATATAAATTTCCAGTCCTTAATAATATCCGAAGTCTTTAGTAGGCTAAAAACATGAAGCATTTATCGCCTGTTTAGTAACTTTACTTAGGCATCAATAAATTTAGGACGACAATTCAACAATCAAAAAATGACGAACCTCTAAAACACTTTTTGATATCGTAGATAAAATTTCAATATATGTTGAGACAGGATGCATGCAGAAGACGATACTGGCCTAAAACACAAATGTACAAAATGAACCCTTCCTTGTTGTCGTAGTTATATATAGATTCCATTTGCTAGATTTTGAAATGAAATGTAAACAGAGCAAACGAATTCACAGAATGCAGAAAATCTTGCCCATTCATAATACAGAACAATAATATGAATCAAGATTAAATATAAGCGTGAATTACAATCATTACGAGGTTTTTATGAATACATTGAAACAAAATTACTACTTTTATGCATTGTAAAGCGCACGCACCGCTAGTGCCATCGAAACAAAATTCAAGTAAACTCAAAAACTTTATATTTATGAACATTGGTCAATTCACACAAATTTTCTCAAAATACTGTCTAACTTTAACATGATACGTCATTGAACGTAGGGTCCAAGCAAGAAATTTCAAGTTATATTAAAATTCCATAGTCGGTTTCATACGCATTCAGTGTTATCGAAGTGAAGTTACGCATAATGGTGTCCTGATCACATTTAAAGCATCATAATTATGTTTTTCATTTATAATCAGAAATTTATTTCTGATTCTTGTGTACTTTCAGTAAATTGCATTTGAAATTTCAATCAGTAATTCTCTTTCACGCACTCATCTGAATTTCAGATAAAATTTTGGTATAGAAAAAGTCAAGCAATATTCAAAAGCTTAGACTGTGAAAATAAGCGTAAAAAACATACGATTACAACGCGATGCATGAATACATTACAATGCGATGCATGAAAATATTTTATTTATTTTTCTGTAAAATGCATTTTACACCAAAAGAACATATATATTGATGTTCGGAAGCATTTATGCAAGATATCGATATCTCAGTTTAGTAATTAAATGCGCTGGAAATAAAACAAAAACGGAATTAAAACAATTTCTTAAAAAACCGAATTAATACCTGTTAATATTATATTGACGAAACAAATTTGCAATTTTTTAAGAATATTTATTTATATCTAAAAGCTACTGTCGTGAGCGAATTCTTTAATTTTATTTATTCAAGAGGTTATTATTTTGAAAGTTTGAAAAAGTTGATAAGCAAATAACTATTCGAAATATTATGCCCGATCAGGACAATCATGCTTGCTCATTCATAATTTTTGGAAAAGCTGAGTTTGAAGCCATTGTGAATTTATAGTCATAAATTTAAGTATTCTTCTGTAAGCTTCAGTTGCGTAGCCTAGTACCTTCCCATATACTGTACCGACTAAAAGGACCAAACAGCAAGATTTAACGATAGGGCCCGAGGCATTTTGCAGAGTCATAAAGGGGGATAATGAATACATTGTTAATGAGATTGACCGGAGAATTAGAGTGCACTACAAGCTCAATTTCTCTGGTACTAAGCTCACTATTAAATATCTGAATTGTTTTTCCAATCAGAAAATGAATTTATTTTTGTAGGTTAATAACTTAAAAGTGCATTTAGTTTATACGCGGTATTGAGACAACGAAATAAAATTATGGGAGATATATCATAAAAATTGCCAAAGGGCTGGTTTGGTACAAGTGAATTGTGTTCCCGAATCAAACGAAGAGCTTCGCCGTTTAAATAGGGAGGGTTGTAACAAATGTATATAGAATGTTTTAGAAATTATTGTATAAGCTCACTTCATTTTAGACATATGGAATGGAAGGATGCAGCAACGGTGAGCAATTACGTGATTAGTAAATTAGTCACCTATATTTTTATATAGTTTTATCCCACGTTAAAAGTGAGTCATTCCTCATCGTTGTCCGTATATTTAGTCAATCGTTTTACTTACCGGTGATTGGATTTCAGTCATTGATGGACAAGTTCTATGAGAATAATAATGACTGCAATCATGATATCAGTGAAAAATATAACTTTCATTCAGGTATAAGCAACTGGTATATATATTTTCTCGTGAAATAAACATTTTTTAACTACTTTTCGGCGGTAAAATTGGTATTCGATATTATATCATGAAGATGCGAAGACGTGACACCTTGCAGACTAAATTACAGACTTTACACGACTACCTATGACGCAACGACGGTCCCAAGCATGATTCATATAAACTGCGTATCAGGCAGTTGGTTACTCATAATGCGTATTGCATCTTTAAAGGGCTACGGAGAAAGTAATTTACACTTCGTTATTAGAATCATTATTGTACGTGTGATATTTTATACCTTCAAGATATTCAGTATCGAATATTTTTATCTAGTATACCTATTTAAATTTCAAGCATAAAGAAATATTCAGTAATAATGTTGTTAGTGAACTATATTTTAATTGAGTGAAAGAAATATGGCACAACTTTGCCAGTTTAGTTAGTTTTAGTATTAGTGGATGAAAACCATCAGAGTATGTAATTGAATATTGAGTTAATATTATTTCTATATTTTTACGGTTTTCCTGGTGATGTTTTGTACCACAGAAAGTGGCTTTTATCTAAACCACATTCATATTATGAAGAAATATTAACCAGAAATACATAGAAATCACTTTATTTTATCTCTTATTCCAAAAATCAGTTTGCATAGGAGTATTTGTTCCTGTAATATTTAAGTTCATATTTTTATACATCTCACGTCCCTGCTTCGATTCTTTGTAGTATATATATTTGTGAGTATTATATTATGAATGCTTTTGGAATCTTTATTTTTTTGAGATATTTATGCAAACATAGTTGAGCATCTACGAATTTAATCATGTCGTTATCAGGTGACTTTTTAATTACATGTAGTTGACGTTTTGATAATATTTCATGATGACTGACGAAGAATGGATTAAAGACGAAAAAAAGTATCAACAAAAAATAAATGATTTGAAGGTAATAAAAGAAAATAATATAGAATATTAAACAAATGTAATTGGTATACTCTTTCGAAATATGTTGCTTCCATCATGGGATGAAAATATATCCAACTATGTATAGGGCGTCACCAAGAGTATAATATATTAGTAGGAAAATGTCGAACCAATCCTAGGAACATTCTAAGGGCTAATCGATCATAGAATTTAGAAAATCACAACATAAATTGCTTATTGTTCTAATCACACTTACTCGTTACAGGTGCCGTATAAACCATGCATGACAATCTCTGTTTCAGTATTATGTGGGAGAAATATATCTGTAGGCTTACTACATGATTTAGGTAAGTCATCGATATTTTCAATGATGAATTTGTTTTGCTATGCAACAGAGTAAATTAAGATGATGATTACCATATAACACCAACCAATTATTATAAAAAAATATAGAGCACTCTGCAAATTAACATTTTGTGCTAAACTTTAGAAAATATGTCAATCAAATGTCATGCAAAAAATTTCAAATTATTCTATCGTGCATCGAGTAAAAACGTGCACATCTAACCACGTTATTTTAATTAACAATCGCTATAGCAAGTTTTGGTCGTCATGGCATTTTGTGCTGTGATGAATTTTGTTAGTGTTACTGTATATGTATATTTTGTCATGATATTTTAAATTATCTTAACAAACCGTTATTTGTATCCCAAATAGTCCGTGGGTTTAATGTGAATTCTATTCCCATTTTTTCAAATTTTTGAAGTATGCAGCGGTATATATATTTCGGGTAGCTTTCGGTTTTAATTTTTTGAATATTCGGGGTTATCTGAATCTAATCAAAAGTGTAAACCTCAAATACGGCGGGAATCAATAAATATTTCATACTTCTCGAAACTGCTAAAGCACACGGTCAACGAGATGTGTATCTATTTCAAATGTGAGATTGAAAGCGCTTTCAAATAAAACACACTATCTTTCCTATTTATTCAAAAATACACAAGCATTTTTAAAGTAATTTATCCTTGGGTCTCTATTTCTTTTTACAACAGTTGACATACCCGATCCTCAGGTTTACGTAAGTTGCGCCGAAGCCGCTAGTCGGAAAGATTTCAAAACCAAAATTGCTAGAGATCAGCATCATCCCGTCTGGAATGAAACTTTTACATTCGTTTTATCGGAAAAGAAGAATCTTACGGCAAATATAAAAGTTAGTCATTAATTTCAAAGTCTTTTCCCGTAATATCAGTAAATATAAGGAATAAAAGAATATACATTTGATTGGAAAGCAAAGATATGAAACACAGCTCAGATTGACTACAGATTGTTGCATAAGCTCATAGTAGAAACAGAAATATGTCAAACAATATGCCCCAATTATAAAATTTGAAACGTGGTCTTCTGGTGGCTGTCAATTCAGACACAAAAAGCTATGTGTAAACGGTGAGAAGTTCCACGGATTTCCCTCAAATCGTTACGAAGGCTCGTGATTCATTCTCCTCTATTTTCTCTAGATTGATTTATATGAAGAAGATCAATATAAATTCGATCCTCACCTCGGGTCAGCGACCCTATCAACTGATGATCTTGAGATAGGTAAACAAAAGTACACAACATTAGTCTTCGGGAAGGTAAGAATAATAAATTTACTTCAACTTCAATCAATTTATTTCTTTTCATGTTGTCCTTAACGCCACAGATATTTTAATGTATACTTGATTTTGATATACTTATTAATTAAGTAAGATTTGTGATCATTTCTACAATAAAACTAAATTTTTGTTTGTACAGCATGGCCAAGTAGATATCAAACTTCTGAAACAATGGAGGTATGTAGAATTTTATTTTTAATGAATCCCTATCGAGTATGTATGAAAATTGTATGAAATGCTCAGTCGATGCGTGATTTGGCAAACGAAGAAAAAGAACTAATTTCGAAAAACAAAAATGAATCTGCCAAATCTGAAATACCTTGTTCTTCTAAAAAGACATTAGTTTTCTATATAGATGTATAACAGAGTTGCTTCTCAAGAGCCGCGTTTGTAACAAAGGTAAATAAAATCATTTTGAATGTCATCTTAACTCTCACAAACAACCTTTTTAGAGTAACTCCCGATTTTCATCTTTCTCTTGGGCTATGTACGGAAGAGTTGAAATATAGACTGGCAAGAAAACCGAAGACAAAAGAAGCAATTCGTAAATTTCTTGGAGAAGAAAATGGACCTACAACTCTGAGCGAAGTATGGATAAGTTTGTATTTTCGGTGATATATTCTTGCAATACAAAGAAAAAAAATTCTGGTAGAACTAGAGAAACAACTTTAATTTTTGAGCAAGGCAGAACAAAAACAAAAAAGTGTAACTATTTCAAATTGCAGCTAATCTTTGATCGTGACACTTTGGCAAAATAGATCATATGGGTATATGATGTTCTGTTTCAGACGCCAACTATTGGGTTAGCAATCAGTGGAGGTGGATATCGCGCAGTTGCGACATCTTGCGGGGCGATGGAAGCACTTGCCGAGAGTAACTTGCTTGATACATTGATGTATTTTGCTGGGTTATCGGGTTCATCTTGGTGAGTGATAATTTTTGTCTCATCGTTTATTCCAACCCCCAAAATATGATAAAAATATTGCAGATGGATTTTACGTAAATATCAGATAAACTAAGTTTTTTGTTTCAGGTACCTGTCAAGCGCCTACCTTCACAAATCACTTGCAAACTTGCAGACTTTGTTTGAGCATCACGACTGGTTGAGAAAACAAATGGAATACAGCCTTTATAATTATTTGTTTGACATGTCGTTTCATAAGCGATATAGGTGTGTAATATATTTATATAAAATTTGAACGAGAGGTCTTACGATCCTGGGAGATATATGACTGGTATTTTAAGCTTGGTTTGTTTAATAGTAACTAGTGAAATGACGTTGGCCTTAACGGAATTACTGAGCATTTTTACTGAAATTGTTTTGTCTGATTTTTAAACTTATTAGTATTACCAAATATGTTTTGGTTTCTGTTTTTAAATCCTAAATTAAAAAAAAAATTGTTTGGCTAAACATTAAATACGTTGTGCTGAAAGGCAGGTTTATTGGTAAGAAATCGAATCTGTTTTTCTTCATTGCAGAAAATATAGAGAGTTTAAAGTCGAAAATCATCAGCCAATAACATTTGTCGATTTTTACGGAATGACGTTGGGAGAAACATTTTTAGACAAACAAGTAAGTAGGCTATGTTGTTTTCTTAAAAAATACATATATATAGTGAATTTATCAAAATCTGTCAAGGGTATGGCCACTCATTTATTCTCGTCTTCGTCATAGGTTTGACTTTGTTAAATTGTCTCAGAATATTCTTGATTGCTTCCATGACTCCATAGAGAAATATGATATCTTTACTAACATACATTTGTTGTATCATATGTACTGTATCTTCAAACGCACATATGAAAATAAAATATAGATATCCTTATTATATGCACGATATATTGTGTCTGTTTACGGGATAGTTTATGTGTAAAATATGTGAAACATTTCCAACTTCATCCTAGAACACCAGCGTGCCATTTTCAGCACTCAAAGCCTACGTAGAGACAGCTGAGGTGCCTTTCCCCATTATATCATGCGCACATGTACGCGAAAATATGCCGATGTCGGAATTTTGGGGTGAGAACATTGTACAATGAATATTTGTATATACCAAAAATTGTTTATTTTTCAAAAAGCACTTTTTTTATGTTAGCAAGGATTGGCGATAATCCGTCCCATTTATGATAACATGTCTTCATGTCTGTATTTGTCTACATATAGTCAGTGCTTCATCAGAAAGCGGTTGATATAGCCCATATAACGTTCATTTATTCTGCTTGTTTGCTTTATGAATTGCATCCCAAAATGGTGAATATTATTTTATTCTCATACCAAAGATGTTTGAATTGGAGGAGCGGGCCTATGGTAGCATATAATGTTATAACGTTCCCTTCGCATAATTAATAGAGGAAGACGGTGTACATAAATCAGTATGAGCAACCAAAAAGTAAATACCTTATATTCCAGATGAAGTCGAAATGACTCCTTTCCAAGTTTCTCTTCCTGGATACGGAATCAACGTTTCAACGGAAAATTTCAATTCTAGATTTTGCAATGGAATTTTACTTGATCGATTACCTGAACCACCATTACATTATATTATGGGTTCAAGTGGGAGCGCCTTCGCTATAATGAATCATAAAATGAAAGATAAAAACGAAATTGCTGCAGAACTATGGGAATATATCGGTAGGCATCGTCGGTTTATTTTTAAGAGTAAACATGTGCTTTTTATCTATTTTCGTCTCCTACATTATCATTCCACCTCATATATTTATCGTTCTTTTTTGATCACCAACGTTTAATTGCCGTTCAGTTCACCATTTAATCAGTCTCTAGGTTTTCAAACGAAAATAGAGAATAATAGACATTTCTTAAATTGAACTAACTCTTTTATGAAGTTTTCAACTTTATTTCTGAATACAATTTTAATCAATTTATTTTCGTTCCAGATGCTCATCAACAAAATACATTGCAGACACAAACTGGTCAAACGACCGAAGTGGTAATTTTTCAAACATTTTGTATTTTTCAAAAACGACTATTCTTTTAGGCATATTGTTTATAGTCCGACTTCTCACGTCCGAATATATCTGAAGACCTGGTACGATAAACTAACTCGAAACGTACTTGAACTCGAAACTTACTTAAACTGAACGCTTGCTTGTAAATAAATATCAAATATTTACCAATATATAAAACTAAAATAAAACCCCTCTTTGCAATTTCAGATTTGCGATGATGAATTAGAACCACCTTCTCCTAGAGGTTTGTAAATAAATATTTCATATTGTAATTTTTAAAATAAGCTCTTTAAGTCTATATATATATTAAGTATATATGTATAATATATATAGTATATATACGCTGCTTGATAACCGTGACTGGTTTCCTTTGACGCTGAAATAAATTATTATTTATTTTACCTTATTGTTTGTATATTTCCGTATTTTCGGTATGTGAAAATATAAACTACTGACTGATTAAATATTACAAATTTTAAGAGTTAAATTTTGCCTCCCGTGAAGACAAATGGTTGGAATCACTCACGATTAGAGAATCAACTGACTCAAACAGTAATATCATGTAAGTGTATTGGAGATGTTATAATTCAATGATTGCTACAACACTCAAAACAAGATCTACAAGCTAACTTGATAGTTAATAACGTGAATCTATGACTATAGTGTCGTAATACGCTATAACATGTAAGTCAACATGTAAGTGGAAATTAGAAACATTTTCAAAACAGTAAACAAATTCGATAACATATTCCAAAGCAACCAAAATCCTACACATTGAATGTAATTCCTTCCTTGACTGTTGCTTAGTAACTAAACCCTCATATTAAATAAAGGAAACAAGAATTCGGAACAAGAGGTTCGTGGCTTGTGAGAACCGCAAGAGTGAGAAACTGTGCCGTTGGATGTAAAAGTTTGAGGAAATTCCGATTTGATACAAATGTGGTTCAAGGGGATGCATCTAGTAAGATTATTATTACTTAAGTTATATATAAAAACATACGATATTTAAAAATAAAAATAAATTGAAAAAATAACGTACTGCGATATATTGAATTGAATCTGATGGCATTTGTAATTACAAACCGAGATCATAATGATTTTTATGAAATGATTGATGTGATTGTGCAGGAAGTCGCTGTTATGTCAGTGGTTATTATATTTTGAAAGTGTTAAGTTGTTATTTTTAACAACAACTTTAAACAAAGTGTTTAACTATCAGTGTGGATATAGAGGGCCTAAGTGCCCACAATCACGTTATTTTGCGATTTTGTTTGATATTTTAATTTTTATTTACAGAAAGAGCAAGAAAAACAATGTCTGTTGACAATTCAAATATTGCGCTTTGTGACGCTGCATTGGGATGCAATCTTCCTTCCATACATGTGATGAGGCCACAGAGGAAAGTGGATATTCTGCTTGTAGTAGATTGCAGCAACTACTTGAATGAAACATCTCTCCAGATGGAGGTGAAATATTGTATTTAATATTTCAAATTTTGCATTTCCTCGCTTGGAGTTTACATAGAACCAAGATACAGGCAGGTATTTCTTGCATCTCACAAGCCTTAGAAAAGTTACATGTATGCCTACAGGTTATGTGCTTTATGTGGGAAGGATTCGTTACAGAATGTTTCTACTTGAAAGTACCAAATACTTCTTTGCCCATAAATTAAATATAATAACAGCTTCCAGCAAATAAATGTTTTCGTATGTGGAGTATTTGTTTTGGTCGAAAATCTAGGTGAATAACAAAAAACCTATTCTGAAATTTCTGCAATCTTTACTATTCGACATAACACATAAAAACGGTATGGCGAGAGGGAACGTTTGCCAAAACTATGCTCTATCACTTTGATATATGTCGTTCTAAGTATTCAATACCACTTTCAAAAAATCGTCTACAAGTAAAATTTTTTTCAATCAAATTCACATATTTTCGTTTTGTGATTTCAGTTATTTGCCACAGTACAAAGTCAAGTCCACGAGCATGGAATCAAATTTCCTCGAATAAGTTTGTCTGAAATTGCCAAAAGTCCTTTTCGTGAGTTTTATATATTTGAAGACGAAGAAGATCCGAAATGTCCAATAGTATTCTGGTTTACTTTATCGAACGCAAAATTCAAATCTCTACAAAATCCTCACAGAAGATCGGGATATCCCCAACCGGATGCAGTTGGTGAGTATATTGTAAAGTTATATATTATTGTCCGCCTTCAACCGCCAGCTACTCAATATAGAATGTAATAACTTGAATACAGGCAAGAATCCAGCCATTATTACATGCTATTAGTATCATTTTTCTGCCTAAAAAGTCCCTTAAAAAGTCCCTAAAATCAATGACAATACAAAATTTTAGACTATATCTACTTTGATAAATTATTCTTAATTGTAATATATAGAAAAATTTTAAATCATTTCAGCATTGTCAAAATGCATGTTAAAACCAATAAACTACAGCAAATAAAAATTTAAATTTATATAAACAGATTCAGGTCAAGAGAAATTCAACGATTTTTGTATATATCCTGAAAGTTCAGATTTTGGTACTCTGCGAACTTCATTTACTCCACTAACATTTGATAGAATTCGAGAATTGATGAGATTTAACATTATGAACAATATGTGGGTGAGTCGTAGCAAAAATATGTTTTTTTGGATATTATTTCATCAACGCGAACATACAACAGCAAATTGAAAAGCGTCGAAATTCTATGACAGCACACCAAGTTCAAGTAAATGCCAAGCCTCGTCCTTTGTAGCCTCTGTGTGTTGGAATCCTTTTATAATACAGAAAAAATGAATCTTTTGGAGAGTCGAAAAAAAACTTGTAACGGAACTATGTATTTATATGTGCTGTTTAATAACACCCATTGAATAACTCATATTGGAAAATGTTCGAAGATGAAGATAGATAGATAGCTCCTTCATCCCATTGCTCTGATGAAGCAGCATGGTATAATGACTGTATTCATCAAGCTTGTTTGAAGAACTTTAGAACACAAATGTTGAACATGGGAATCCTATTTCTTCTTGGAACCTATTTATATTTTATCAAAATATCTTTCTCATAGATCGTCAAAGAGAAAATCGCAAATAAGGTTAAACAGATGAAGATACCTAAGGACAAAGATGTCAATCCCGAAAAGATTAAATCTTGAGTCATTTTACCCATAGAACAATCTTCTCAGCAATTTATTGAATTACAGAATGAAAACAATACAATATAATCTATTATGCTATATATCTGTATTGCCTGCGTACGATTTCATTTATGTTTTACTATATGCAGTTGATGGTGAATAAATTCTATATCGAAGCGAATTTTTTTCTGGTGTTTCTCTTAGTAATAATTCTAATTTGAAATTTAATATTTTTTATTATTACTATTCACCATTGTATTGCCCCGTTTTTTTTCCAAAACCTCGTTTCGTTTATTTAGTGCATTTTATCTATCCATCATATCAAGATATCATACTACGACGTATATACTAGATCAAAAAAGAGCATTTTACTTTTCAGTCAGATACCTCAATAACCCCACCTCTGTTATTAACTCTTGTATATTACATATAGCGTTGTGCTATAAATATTTATTGTATGGACTCGTGTATTAATATATATATCATCACGTGCATTACAAATACCTATTATGTTACCTCACTATTACATTATCTATTCATCTACCAACTTTATTTTATTCAGTGCAATCAATTTTAAGGTGAATATTATACGAAATGAAATAATATGAAATTTGTTGACTTGCCGATGGTACTGACTCAGGACTATAAAGTTGAGTCTCAATTATACTGCACAATTTATAGTCTTGCAATGTAATAGAACCAAGAACATCGGAGAGTATGTGAAAATGCAAAGGAGAAAGTTAAATTCTGCAAGATAAATTGATACGGCGTATTCATAATTGTTAATAAAATCGGATATTTTGGAGGCGAGATAACATAACTGCTAAGAGAGTACACTGTTTAATTTAAACATCGCCTAAAAGCGTCACAGCGAGGGTAAATAATTACCCTATGTTTTTGATTGTCTTATATCAAAATATCATAAACGCACAAAACATTGACCAAACCACGGATTGAAAAATTCATCTAACACATTATTAAAATTTCAATAACGGACCCCGTTTCTAAATTTTGATATAGCGTGTTAAAATCTCAGACAAACGAGAGAAAATGTGGCTTTGAAGGAGGCCTGATATTTTTGAATATCCCCAAGTGTCCTTTTGATAGTGCTCTGTGGCCATCGATAAAGCCACGTCTCAACGGTCTATAGGTAATCATATTGACTATCACTTAAAATTTATACAAGCTGAATAACGCGGTGTATACACAACATTTGTTGGATAAAACGCTAGATGATCATTTGAAATAGCAAGAATTTTCGACAGTGTCCGAAATGAGTCATTCTGCATGATGATATTGAGGAAGTACGCAAATCCTAGTACAAACTGATGAACACGGATGCAATGCAATAACATTTGTAATTGTATTTCCAACACACGTTCTTGCTTCTACATTCAAGACTAGATATTAATATCCAGGTACGATTTGAAAACCCGAAAATGTCTGATCAAACATGGATCAACGAAGAGGAGAAGTTCCATCAAAAATTGAATGATATTGAAGTAAGATAAATGTATTGAAAATATAGTTTTCAAATATATGATTAGGAAATATATTCACTGTAATTTTCTTTTACAAAAATAACTGCTGTGTATGTAAAAAGTTACGTACTTTCACCTATAAAGATTACTGTTAAATGACTCCAAAACAATCAGGAACTAGCAACACCAAGTTATAAAATTTATGTAATAATTCTTATTAGTTGACGCCATAGTATACACCACATATAAATATATGCTAACAATTAAGTAATTAACTTGCAACACAGATACCATATAAACCTTGTATGACTGTCACGGTAACAGTGGTCCAAGGAAGAAAAATATCACTCGGATGCCTACACGATTTATGTAAGTTACTTTTCTTTTATTATTTTGTCAAAAGTGCAGTTGCAAAAGTTGCACCTATGCCTTTTCATATATGTTGTTTTAAATGGTAATATTTTCTCTGTAATTAACTTTGATTTTGTTATAAACGTCACCACTATTGATTTTCAACCCATGTAATGGTAAAATAAATTCTATCACCACGTCTTTTTCTATTATATGAATCATATGCCCAAAATGTGATCAGGTATCATTAACTTTTAATTTACATTAGCGATACAGGTATTTTCTATGAAAAACAGGCACCTCTTATTTATCTTTATAATACTATCTCAGTCACGCATCCTTGTGGCAACAGCCACATAAGAAAGTAAACAAGAAGAAAAGACCCGCAGTTCAATACACAATACCCTAGTACACCTCTTATTTAGTCATTGTTTATAAAAAAAAAAATTTAAACAAATATTTTTTTTGAAAATTCGGACAAATCTTTGGTGGTTTATGTGTGATATTCATTCTGATCAGTTGACACTCCCGACACAAAAGTATATCTTCGATGTGAAAATGCAATTGGAAAAACAAAATTCAAAACAAAAACGGTATGGAACTCACATAACCCAATATGGCAAGAATCGTTCACCTTCGTTTTTTCAACCTCCGAGGCCGCGAATTCTGTGATCGACGTAAGATTTATGCACTTTAAATTCTAGTTCTGATGTTTAAAGTTTAGAATCAAATATTATCGAAGCATTGTATCACTTTGTCATGTGTTTAGTTAAAATAATCTACGTTTTCACAATAGGACTGCACAATAGGCGCGGCGGTGTGGCTCAACGGGCTGAGCGTTAGGAATACGCTCGCCACCGCACCTCTAATTACTCTGCGTGGGTTCGCAGGTTCGAATCCCATGCAGGGATGGTTATGTGCGAGAGGATTGCTGGACTCCTCGCCGTCGTTGGGTGGTTCACGTAACCGCTGGTCGGTTACGGCTTCCTCTACCACCAAGTCCATGCTTCCGAAAACAAACAATACAGTAAAACTAATCCCATACCCGACTTGGAATGGTAACCGGACGAGAGGCCGTGGTTTGCCATATGGATAAGCCGTCTTATCGGCTTTCCTCTCCCCCGGGATAAATATGTAAATCCTATCCTATCCTATCCTAAATATAAATGAGGATGCATTGACATGGAACATGTGGAAATGATAAAGGGAAATTTTTATCATTGGCAAAACCCAAGAAATATTGAAAATATTTACATGTATTATAGGTTGATATATATGAAGAAGATAAATTCAAATGCGATTCTCATTTTGGCGTTGGACGTTTGAAACTAAGTCAACTTATTGTAGGTGAACCAAAACAAGTTACTCTCGACTGGGGGAGTGTGAGTATAACTACAGCTGATTTTTTTTACCGAAGAGTAGTTAAAGAAAAAAAAGTATTCTGATTTGACAGTAAAAAGCCTGACAGTAACGCATCAATTTATATATATATTTATATAATAAAACGGATATATGCTACAGAAGTATACAATTTCCTTCTTATCTACCAAAATTTTGCACTGAGTATCTTGTGCTTTGATAGTAATTACAGTTTGTATATTGAAGAAATCATTAAAGCAGTATTGTGAGCATTTTATTCAATATTAACGTATTTCACATACATTCTCCATTGTTTAAACTTTTGATCTATCACACGTTTCTTTGTTGTTTCATACGCGATGGGGACTACAGAACGGAAAAGTTGATTTTTCACTTCTGAAACAATGGAGGTAAATAAAATTTCTTCCATAAAATAATTTAATCACATAGAAATAATATAATCGTGCATTGTGATTGATGGCTAATCACACTCGGTATATTAATTAAAAGAGATATATCAGAAATGTACCGGTTAATATAATTAGAAAAAGAAAGATTTCTTTACAGAGTTTCATTCATTTGGTATTTAAACCTGATTTTATGAGTGGTATTTCAATGAAAATAATTCAAATAACATAAGTTTTATCTGATACCATAGTTTGAAAAATGTAATTTCACATCTTGTCTTCGTGTTGCTTTTTTTTACTCAGAAATTCCCCAGATTTTCGGTTATCTTTGGGATTATCAATAGAAGAAAGACAATATAGAATTAAAAGAAAACCTAAAACGATGAAAGCAATTCAGAATTTTCTTGGAGTGGAACTTGGGCCCGCGTCATTGAAAGAGGTAGAGGCATTGATGTTTATACACACTTGAAAAGCGAAAAGAGGTGATCGCGTTTTGGTTGAGATACAGAAGGTAGCCTATATATCACATTCTGTGCAAGTTCTTTAACTTTTTTTCTTCTCTTCATGATTTAATAAAGACTCCGACAGTCGCTGTAGCAATAGCTGGAGGAGGCTATCGCGCTGTGGCGACAGCTTGTGGGGCAATGGAAGCAATTTCAGAAATGGGATTACTCGACTCTATTATGTATATTGCGGGTCTCTCTGGATCTGCGTGGTATTTACTTTTTATTCACTAATACATAACTGTCCGTATATTCTCATTGGACCCGTAGTGGACATAACGATCGTTTTGTTGTTATGTTGTTCTTGTTCTTTGACACGTTTTTGAAGAAATCAATTTTCTCTTTGATTAATGAACCAATTGTTTTGAAATTTATAGTGGTTAAAGATGGAATTTTCTTCCAGAAGTCTATTACATTTTTTTTTGCTATGACGTCATCAAAATTATGTGGCGCTACCTGTACTTATATTTGAGCCTAGCTCTCTCGTTTGTTATGTTATGAATGTGCTTTTCCTCGTAATAGATAGCGGTACCTATCGGTATATTCGGTATATGTAAAACTTAATGATAAAAAAGTAGTACGATTACTATTGTGACACCGCCTGTAATTTGAATTAACTTCAACTATGTGTCGATGTAAGTGAATCATTTCATTACTCTCTCTTGCAGGTACGTATCTTCTTCTTTCCTTCATGGTTCGATGAACAATCTTCAAAATCTTATCGAACATCACGACTGGTTACGTGAACAAATGGAAGAAAGCCTAACCTTGCGTTTGTTCGATATATCTTTTTATAAACGCTGCAGGTCAGGTTTCTTCCAATACTTGATGCTTCTGATCCTATTTGGTATACATTGATTAATTCAGTCTAGCAGTTTAGTACGAACACCAGCCGAAATATGTCAGCAATACACTAGGCACAGGCGTATCAGTGAGGTACACACTCACTGGTACAATATCGGTAGGCACGGTAATAAGTAACCAAATTTGTGTGACGCATTTCGAGCCAATGACGTTATTGTCGAAAGTGGAGATGTATCAGGATTAATATAACGATTTATTGACAAGACTTCAGTTTTTGTTTATCCACTCATTCGGAACCCCCATATTAAACTTCATCCGTGCAAATAATTTATCATTCATTTCATGTTCTCCTACTGGCTACCGACAACAGAAAATACCGGGAATTTAAATTAGAACATTATCAGCCAACGACACTTGTAGACTATTACGGTATTGCTCTTGGAGAAACGTTTTTAGGAATTGAAGTAAGCAATTAAATACCTGCCATTTTGATAAATAGTCATTGAAGATAAGAACGTTCTATTCATTTGCGTAAATTTTATCATTTGTCGCAAATGTTACTTATCTAACAAAACAAAAATATCATAATTTCATGCGAATCATACAGAAGTGACTAACAGGGTGGGATATATAATGAGCAAGCAATGTAAGGTCTATAATAGCACCGTACGAATTCCAATTCGTAATACAACATATCGAATTTATTACACCATATATAGGTAGAATTTTTGGCATAGAGTTTGATCACAAAACTCTAGTTCTACGCTAGTCCAAGCACTACCACATGCTTTTGATTATCTCGGATCATTTCTTTCACAAAAATGGCTGAAGTATTGCAAAAATTCTACGTTTTTTTTATGTGTAGAACAGCTCAACACAGTTTTCATCATTGAGGAAATATCTTGAAACGGCTGATGTTCCATTTCCAATTTTATCGTGTGCTCACGTGCGTAATCGTCTTCCGATGTCTGAATTTTGGGGTGAGGCAGTTATTTCAAAATTAGAGAAAGAGTTATCTAATTATCAAAATTGCCGTTCGACACTTTTCATATCACTCTATTCCCCTCTCCCTGCAGATGAGGTTGAAATGACACCTTACGAAGTTTCGTTTCCGAGTTACGGGATTAATATTCCGACTGAACAATTCAATTCAAGATGGGGTAACGGTATATTACAACAAAGTTTACCAGAACCACCATTGCACTACATGATGGCCGCCAGTGGAAGTGCGTTTGCTATCATGTGGAGCAAAAAATCTGACAGAACCGAGACAAGAGAGGATATCAGAGAATACATAAGTTAATAAATGAAGTTACTTTCACGTTTAATAATCTAGTCTACTCTCAATTGCTTTCATTACCCTCGAAATCTATCTTACATTATCTTTTATATCATCTTTAGCAAGTCATGTTGCTTTATATGGTTAAAATTGAATCGTATAAATCTTGTCGATTATTAGATAATCTACAAGAAAGTCATCACGAGAGAATCGAGTTTAGTGAATTTGATGAATCAAGTGATGAGGACAATGATGATGAAATTGAAAGTGTATCCGTAACATCTAAAGGTAATAACCTGAAAACATCGAATTACAAAATCCCTCGAACTCAGCAAAATCAATATAACAAGAATCTTGATGGTCATTGTCTGTAACTTTTCCTCTGCTTTGTGAAATATCGCCAAAATCACATTTGGTGAAATTCTAAAATAAAACGTGATCAAAAACAGATGCCGGATCATTTGGAACATATTCTAGAAAAAAATGAATTTTGTTCATAGCGTCCCAAATACTGAAAACTCATGGTACAATCATATACAACCAGGTGTAAAAAAAAATTAGGGGTTATGGTTATATTTAGGTCACCCTGTTGCGACCAAGATTATTGTGCAGTGGCTATACTGTTACAATCGCCATGAATTAAACCTAAATCACATTTCTGTACATTACAACAAATTAAATGAGTTCAGCGTCTTTCAATATTCTATAAATTAAATTTGAGAGAAGTACTTTTTTTCCTTTGAAATAGCTATGAAGAACTTTGCTTCGCCCGATGATAAATGGATCGAAATTTTGCAGCGGAGAGCATTTGCAAGAAAAAAATCTGATAGAAAGCGAGAGTAAATCATTTTTGTTAGTTATCAAATTTAGGTTGACAACAATTGAAAATTAATGATAGATCGATTGTAGATTAGAAATCGGTGGTATATTTGCACGAGGTATCATATTCTGCGCATAAACGCAGATTGCATTCATCATCATCCATATGAAAAATTAGAACAATGGTTTTCAAACGTTGAACGACATGATGCTTAAGTTAGTGTACTTCGATTCCTTATGTTGTATAATTTATTAATTATATTTTATTTAACGAACAAACACAAAATAGTAGGCTGATTTCTTTTATTGTTTCTAATGATATATTTGTTACTTACAAGCTGTAGTGAAGAAAAACCAGACACATGTTTCACTCGACTTACTTTCTTAGCTTTCCTATGTTCCTCGTTCGAATTATAAATTCACAGCACCATATAAAATTTGATATCCTAAATTTGTTTGCTTACATTTGACAGATCACAGTTTGACCGTATTGGCCGTGGTCTTATTCTAGACAGAACTGCCAGAATAAAAAATTGCGCAGCAGATTTCAGAGGGCTTCAAAAGTATCGGTTGAACACTGATCTTATTGTCCCAAGCCAAAACATCACCGGTAAATATTTAATTATTGCAGGCAAGCTAATATACAGCAAATATTCATGTAACAGCCCTTTTTATCCAAAATTCAGTGAGAGGTGAAGTTAGATTACCAAAGTGAATGGGCGCGATTGCATCACAGACCACACATCTCGAGTTCTAATCCCATGTCCCCCACATCACTCAGAGAGCAATAATTTGGAAAATATTTGAAATAAGTTAAATAAAATGACGTGTTTATTTCAAAGTTAAACATTTCATCTTGAATTCAAAATCAATTGATTTAACAAGGTTTCTACACTAACATTCATTGGTTTATTGTAGCCTCAGAGAGAATATTACGAAAGATCTCAACGAAAAAATCTAGCATATCTTTGTGTGATTCAGCTTTGGGGTGTAATTTACCATCAATACATGCACTTCGGCCACAGAGAAGAGTTGATGTTTTAATTGTCGTTGATTGTGGAAATTATTTGAACGAAAATGAACTGTCTTTTGAGGTAGGCTACGTGTTATGTGTTCTAATCAAGCTTAGCTTCCCACAATTGGTATATGTATATTGAATATATACGGGAAAACAGTTGAATGTCCTTCAGATAAAGATAATATTCAACTACTTGCTCTTAGAAATTTGTCATACTCAAACCGTCGGCCATTTGTCACTTCGTTTTCTTGTGCGTTGCATATCAAAGTCATTTGAGAAAAGTTTATTGCCGACATCCCATAATCAGAGTCAACGTGCTCTTTAGAATATTCGAATATTATGCTATGCCATTGTGCAATATGGAACGGAAGAGATTACAGTTTTTAATTAAGTGAATTTGTGAAAATGTTCTTTTGAAACTTTCTTTTAGCTTTTCGCAACGGTGCAAGCTCAAGCACACGACCATGGAATAAAATTTCCAAGAATAAGTATGGAAAAAATTGCAGAAGACCCTTTCAGAGAATGTTATCTTTTTGAAGATGAAGAAGATACGGAATGTCCTGTTGTTCTCTGGTTTACGTTAGCCAACAGAAAATTTAAAACGCAAAATTCTCCACATAGACGACCGGGATATCCCACGCCCGACGACGTTGGTAAGTAATTATCAAAAATATCTCATGGTTAAAGCCTATAAGCCCTATATGGTCGAAGACGATCCATTGTATTGAAAAATATAAATATTTTTTTAGATTCGGGAAAAGAAATTTTCAACGACTTCTGTATATTTCCCGAAAATTCGGAATTTGGAACATTGAGATTGCACTTTAGTTCACTCAATTTTGATCGTTTGAGAGAGCTGATGAGATTTAATATACTGGAAAATGACAAAGTGAGCAACTATAACTCAAAACACTACACAAGTCATATTTATTTAATAACGACCAAAATTTTGTTTTAGGTGCTGAGAGAAAAAATAGCATCCAAGGTGGGACAACTGAAACAACGCGATAAAATAACTTCATCGACTTAACGCGTAAACCCAAATAACATATCTCATTCAGTGATCAAGATATAGCAATTTGGGGTTAAAAGGATAACGACTTTAAATACGTATATTGATATTGCTGTATGTCTGGCCAATAAATAAAACTTATCCTGGCAAGTAGACTCGACCTATAAATATATGTATATATATATAGAAATTTAATGCTTTTATTGTGCAAACTAAAATAATTTAGAAATTGAATCAGGAGTGGGAAACACTCGGAAAAATGTTCACTTAACTTATCTATTCAAATTATATAGCATAATATATTTATTTAGTCTTGACTTGCTTCTCGGTTCAATCTACTCAAAATATAGAAATTATGTTATGTTCTATTTGATTAAAATATTGCTTTGAATTCCACCACAGTAAACAAGTAAAAGGGTCACCAATTGGGGGATGTTGGTTTCAACTGTTCGGAATATTTCTAAGGCTATGGTCAAGCTCTGGACAGACGGTCAGAATATATATATATATATTCTTTGAACACCAATACCACACAGTAAAACTGGAATTCGTAATTGAAAAAGCGGTGAATGAGGATAAATAAAAGCTAACTACTTTTTCACCATAATGCTAGGTAATGGGTAGGTAACAAAATAAAGGGAAACGTTGCAATTTGCAAATCAGAGGTAAAATCCTAAAATGAACGGGACAGTAATAGGGCGTAAGTTATTAGAATTAGTTGAATTTAAAAAATAGTGTTACACAGATTTAGTACTAGCATAATATATAACTATGAATTCGAAGGAGCATAATAGTTGTCAATTTGTTCTTATAATTCTGAGATAGGTCAAAATTTTTGTGGCTTTGCTTACTATTCAATTTTAGTTGTGTTTCCAAAATTTAGGAAGCAATCACATAACTCAACATTTATTTTGTCCGAAGTTTTGAATGAGTCTCAAAAATCTGCAATTGACTAGGCCAACGTTTCCCAAACTTTTTTGGCCATGGAACACTTCCCAAAAGGTGCGCTACTACAGTACTAGTTCGCCGCGGCGAGTTGCCAAATGCGCCGCGAAAACTAACAAAAGTGTATTCAACATACCTAAAATATGATTGAATATTTGTGTATGTATGTCTGAAGAAGTCTGACCTTGGTCAGGCGAAACGTTACACAAATATATTTGTGTTAGTGTGTAGCAAGACTCTTGAATCACTTAGGATTGTTATCTCTACTCTTGCTACAGCATCCTTGCAATATATGCATACGGATCCACCGGCACAAAAGCATAGAAGAAGGATAAGTAGTTAGTCTCGCAGAAACCAAATAATCAACGAATATTTTGCATATTGCATTTAAATATTTATTGCTCCTTATTTTAAATGCTGTGTATCTGAATCAATAAATTCATTTTACCTTTCTTTGTCGTTTACTTTCTATTACGTAGTGTTCGCCTCTAATGTTACCTAACAATGGAGTTAGAAGTACTTGGTGCAATTTTGCGAGCTGGAGTTTGTTTATCTGCTGAATCGAATTTAGCGAACATGAGTGATTTTTTCAGCATTTCCTAGTAAAACCAGACAGAGCTTGAGAAAGAAGAGTTGACCTTTTGCCTTTGTCCGCTTTAGGCCGACCGTGACGCGATATTGAACGGTTGCCAGTTGTGCGACAACTTCACGATCCCGAGATAATTTTGGTCCCTTTTCCACGGAACACTTGGAAGATGCTCGCGGAACACAGTTTGGGAAACGCTGGACTAGGCTAAAATTAGTAATCAGTACACAAGTAAGTATGTGGTTACGCATTTTAAATCAAAATAATGGTTATGAACACTTACACCATTTGCAATGGTAAAGTATAGGAAGATTCATTTTGGGTTGAAGGTCGATGATATCTCCCAAGCAAAATTTTTTAAATTTGAAGCTCATTTAAAATTTCGGTCTTTGACACATATCTCACTTCTATTTTGAAATCAAAAGCAACGTATTGTTGTTTTCTATTTCAGATGAGTTTTTATTTATCTTCGTTTCTTTTCATTTCATCCCTGTTTACTATCTGGCATTCAATTTGAAAATCCTTATAAAATTATTCAGTCTGTCAATCGTTGCACATGAAAGGTTCATAAAATTTGTAAAAGGATAAAATTCATAAGCTTGCTGAATAAATTTCCTTCTATTATGGTTGGGTATATAAGTGTGGCGAGTATATCAAGGGTTAGCATTGTTGTGCCTCAAATAAATACAGCCATGACGCAAAACAAATACAAATATTGAGTGACAAACATTTTTTCATTTCTTTGTCTAGTTTTTTATTTTGTTTACGAAGTAATATATCTTAGGTTTCTTCCTTTTCTACTTTCAATATGTCTCTGTGGTTGTATTATGTGCGCATGTGAATTAATTTAATCCTTCTAGGTGAGCATAACGTACATAGTTTGATAACACCTTTCAATCTAAAATCTGTACGTTTTAAACCATGCTTGAGGTTGTGTTGACCCTTCGATTCTGTAATCATTTTTATTCATTAGTTTTTGTCAATTACTTTATCGTCTGTTATGCTAATTATGAAATCGGGATAAACTTATACCGTAACTACAATATAACTAGGAGTCTCCATATTTTACGCATAGGAATTATTTCTTTATTGTTCCAAGGAGCAATTTACAAACACTGATCTTTATTGATTTTCGAGAATGGGGCTGCCGGAATAACATACTGGTAAGAGTTAGGTTAATTATCGCCTCAGAAGCGCCCCTGTATGTCTTCTGATGTGTGAAACGTCTCTGCGTTGATCCATATTCACACATGTGTGATATATATTATCAGCAGTGCTATTCAACTGCTGCATATTGTAGGCGACCGAGGTCAAGCAGGGCATCTTGTCCGACTGGTCAGGCACGACTTCCTGTCAGTGAAAAACATTAACTAGTAAACTGGGTACAGTAAAAAAGGCATGGATGCAGTACACCCGGGTGTAGGATATTCATCACTCCGTGAAATAAACTGCACCATCCATTGGTTTCAAGGATGGAGTAAAAACCAAAGAGAATGTTTCATGGAAGATCTTATTGCTAAAGCACTCCCAGGTAGAATAGACCTGCTTCTGGGTGACCTAAACGGACTTACTATGAAAGACAAGCCTCCTTCATTATATGAGTGTCAGTTGCGACTCTTCAACCAGTGGTTTCAAGATTGGGATGAGAGTGAAAGGACATTTATGTTAGAAAGACTCGAATCTGCAGATCCATTCTTTGTGTCAACATTCCGTCAAAAAGTCATGATTGCAAAAAATGTTACCTCATAGTTATGGGTGGGGATGCCCAGTAATACATACTATATAAAATATGAAATGATAACATATAAAATGTATATTGCCAATATGTAGCATTGGATACAGTCCTGCAGACATTTCAACTTTTTTGACTTTAAGATAATTTTTATTAATACAAATTAATAATAATGATAAAATTAAGCTATTTCTTGTGTCGCATTGGTCTTAATAGAGTTAAATTTAACATGGAGCACCATCAGCGTTTTGAAAAATTGTTCTTATTATTTATTCTTCATACCCTGTAATGGCGGGCTTGGTATTTAAGTGTGCAAATACTCTCACCATTAATATCAATCATTTTCTTATTAAAGTGCACTTCAAATTGGGCATCCCTCTCATGTATATTAAATGTTCATTTATTTATATCTTGCATTTTATTCCACTAATAATAGTCAAAGCAATAGAAACTAAATGTCAAGAATTTGTCTTAAAATGTGTGGATGCAACTATGTCACCAATTCATTAGCAGGTGAGCTGATAAATCAATTTTATGGAAGTGTTCCCTTGCGAAAAATATTTACAAGCAAGAGTAATGTATCAAGCACTTAAAGTTTACCGTTGTTGTGTAAGAGGACCTGTGAAATTTGATTTACAGAATTGAGTATCAACATACATGCTAGAAGGATGAAATCTTACTACGATTTGCTGGGGATAAAGATTGGAGCATCCCAGGAAGAGATTAAAGCAGCATTTTATGAGAAATCGAAGAAGCTTCATCCAGATACTAGTTTTTCTACTGGGTCTGATAAAGATTTCATGGAAATTAAAGATGCATATGAAACACTGAAAAATACAGACTCACGGCAGCGTTACAACCAATTTATACACAGCGATGATAAAGGAGCTCAAATTCACTCTAATGTAACTTACCAACATCATCGAGATGGTTTCGATGATTTCATCAGCCGCCAACATTTTAAAGATGGTTACGACAAAAAATACAAATATGAAAATGAAGAAAAATTTGATCCAATTTCACTTATATATTTGGGGCTATTCTGTGCTCTAGTGGGAGGCATCATATATGCTGAAAAAACACGAAGGAAAAACCAAGTCACCAAACAAGTGAAACGATATCTACCAGAACAAAAACAAGTTGGAAACCATCAACAAATACACTGGGTTGAACAACCAGCTAAAAGAATTCCAAAGCAAAAGACAATAAAAAATGTCTCTGATCCTCCTCCAAACCCAATATCAGACCTAAGAACATGGAAGTGAAATTTTGTTTCTATTTTTTAAAGAATAATAAATAAGTTTACGCACACAAATAAATATATTGGAACATTGGATTCTTTGTCATGCTCATTTAAGGTTGGAGAACAGTAACTTGGACATCTGTAAATAATATAGTAAAAGCAAAAAAAGAAAAAAAAGCATAATGAGGTACATGCTTTAGTTGCATAACTGACCATCTTATAGTGAAGTTATGTGATACATTTTGTAACTCGCATGAGTAATGTCTCATCTCGGAATTGGTCAGAAATAGTATTCGCTGTAAATCCAAACAATATTTCATACTTTAGGGGGCATGTGTTTTGGAAAAGTTAATATCTGTCATTGGATTCATTGCAACAATATGTACAAATCTTCTACAGTTTTTTAGAATATTCATCTTGAAATAGGGTTTTGAATCTATTTTGAACATATGCTTGCTGATGTACCACTACCAATAATATTTGATCCCCAAGTTTTCCCCTATTATTTTCATACATCTTTGTTGGTCGGGACTATTTTCTCACCGGCGAAAACCTTTGTGGACGGTGCGTTTATTGCAACTGTACTTTGTACAAGAGTAGCAATAAAACCAAACACAACAGAAATTTAACGAATTTTAAAATCGCAAAGTCGCTGCAATTACGCGTTCGTTGAAAGAGCCGACTGTTTAGGTGTATAATGGACTTTTCTGTCGTACAATATTCAATCCATGACGAGAATTTAGAATGTCTTCTTATTTTAACTCAATTGTGTTCATGGTAACTCGCGATTGCGTTGACTTACGGTTACGACTTGATGAAAGAATTACTTCTTTAAAATTCCACGGCCATGTGAACGAACATAATAATGAGAGAATATATAGCCCGATTATTACTTATCGATCTCGATAAGTATGTTGATAGATATTTGTCTGTTAGATGCACGCGGTATCTCACGAAAGCGAGGTTGAATCTGCTCCAAATTTAGCATGTGCATTCATCATTTGATTTTGGATAAATTATGTCGTATAATTAGTGAGTTATTAATTAATTGGTGACAGGACACACGGTGACGCTATGGAGTAAGAGCGGATGAATCAAAACCTCAGTTTCTGTTTTGGGGATCCCCTAACTTTCGATCGATAAGACTTCGGTCTCTGACTGATATTCTCGTATTCAGCTTTGATTCATATTTTCGCGATCTTGCAAATTTGTTATCACCGTAAGAAAAAATCCTACTATAGCTGCTTTAAATTTCCAGAATGTACAACTTAATTTAGTACTTATTAAAAATATATTTAAGTATATTAGTAAATTAAAAATACATATTCATCGCCTTGAAATTCTCGTGAACAACTTCTGAAGTAATCGTCGCGTATACGTCACTCGTTAAAAGAGCCGACTTTTCAAGGAATTTTTCTATTGCACAAAATATTCAATCCATCCATATATATGTGTGATCCATTGAATCTGCGGTTGTGTTGACGAAATAAGAGCAAGTATACCATGACAATGCGTGGTAAAGTGCCCGATTATATTTTGTTTAGATTCGTTCTTTTTGTGAATTCGACAAATTTGAGCTGTTCGTACAACACTTACGGCGCTCCATTACTACTGTACCTGTATGTACCAATGTGGAGGCAGTAAAGCAAAGAATCAAAAAGGAAATGCCCTGGTACGTATACTACGGTAGCATCGCGGTAAATTTTGCGATTCGCAATGTCTAAAAAAGCGTTTTTAATCGGTCGCGGACCGCTTTTCGATTTAGAAAATTTGGGTTGCCACCATTTACACCTACCAGAAAAAAATTTATTCCTCGTTTTTCCAACTCGCGAGAAACATCTACTACACTTACAGTATTACGTATTATCTATCGAAGCGTGTACACTACAGACTCTTGTTTTCGTCGGAAATCCGCAAGTGAGTTGTGAAATCCAATCGTTTGATTAAGCGATTCGCAAGTGACCTGTCGCGTCACGTGTTACCAACCACGTAAATTTCTATTCTAATAGTTAAATATTCGAATATATGCCCAGCCCTTCTTAGTAACCAGTAATTATTGACTCGATTAATGTCATGTGAATAAACTGGCTTTTTATGTTTTATGTAAATTCTAACGTAAATCGTAACTTGGCTGATCGTTAAGTTCCACAAAAACGATCGGGCCCGCAGCGAATTTTTGGCTCGTTGAGGACTCATTCAAACGTTCTGCGGACTCATTTGAGACCGTGGACTCGGGTTGGGAAACATTGCCATAGGATCATAATTTCAATATATTAAATTATACTTAAGCAAGTGGAGGCACACGCACTATTACACCATTGAATATCAGATATATACTGGCTTTTCTACTTGATTGGACCCACTGATTAAAGCATAAATATTAACGATTTGTGGAGAAGTTTTGAATTTTATGTAGGCTGATCACTTTCCTAGTACAAACTTCTCTACTCCACAAAATCAATAATGAAGTGGGACTGGCTACGAAAACCGCATTTAATCGAAGTCTTGAAGTGCCAACTAGGTTGTTTCCTGTTTTATTGATGTTCCACTGGAGTACATTGCACAAAAGCAGAGAAAACAAGATAGCAGTGCTCAAATATATGGACACGTAGACCAGAACAATTCAGTCCTTACCTTTGACGCTACCGATACCCTCAAAAAATTTCCAAATTTTCAGTAGCAAGCATTTTAAAAGCCTGACATGACATGATGTGCCACATCGCCGAGCAGGGTTGCCAGATACCAATGATAAGAAAAAGCCAAATCAAGACGGAAAAAGCCAACAATTTTACTTAGGATTTTTAAGTACAAAATCCTCATGATTTGATGCCATTGGCACAATAAGTCCATAATGGGTTTGCAATATGCTGATGTAGAGCCATCAGTTTATTTTGTGAGCCACACAAATGTTTTTCCCCATTGAGAGTTGTATTACCATTTACCAACTTTCATACGAACCATCGGAGCGCGACGGCTGCTGCCAAACAATATTTTCAGCTCAATTTAAAAGTAAATGCGTCTAAGCCTATACAATCCTATCACTGAAACTTACTGTCTTACCGGACTGGCCATATTAAAAAAGGGATTTGAGCGGAATCGCATTTGCAAAAAGAAATTATTAGTTTTCTCTTGTCAAAGTTACTATTGTTTAATCGAGCTGAATAACCTTAATATCATGAAATTGTAATTTTTATGTAATGTGCCACACAAACTATAAGCTTAAGATTCTTGATAACTAAAATGACTCCGCTCAGAGACGAGGGCGACTTGATTCTGTTGATGATACCATTTTCACAAACAATAAAATATACCTCTAAAGCATAGAAATAGTTTGTATATTGTTTTGGAAAATACATTCATGGTTAAATCGGCAGCAAAGGACAACGAACAAAAAAGGAAACTGGACTGAATTTTATTTCTACACACTAATACAAAAGCTATGGAATCGAAATATGTAAAGAATATATCCGCGCCGAGTCTCATGTATTCAAGCTTCTGCCATGATTAACCACTCAGAACGCAGAAATATTCTTGCAACTGAAAAGCAATTAATAAACAATTGTCAGGGGCATTCGTCGTTAAAATCCACAGTCAATTCTTAGTGTCTCTATTTTTTTTCCAACTCGTCATATTTTGCATTTCCCGCAGTGTATATCTGTCTATTTGCTTTGAAACCAGCGGCATGGCACTCCTCATAATATGAAAGCTTCGACATTCGATCCCTCCATTCGACAATTTTGGGGTATTCAACCCATTCAGTGTATCCAGCCATATCCAACATACCAAGAAGATTCAGTTTGCAAAAATCTTAAAGATAAAAAACACCGAATGCATATGTGACGACTTATAAGGCAAACGTTACGGAAACCATGATTTGATTTTTTATGTAATTTCACGTTATTTGAGAAAATCGAATTGAATAAAAATGCGGAAATCGACCGCTTGGATATTATACGAAAAATGAATGATATTCGGATATCCCCGATATTTACCTAAAATCGTTAAATGATTTCCTGCAAGATAGCTCTGGTTCGAAAGAACCTTTTCCATATGATCTATATGTTTCTTCACCTCTGGAAAATGTTCATTACATGGCCCTTTAGCTTTTCCCGAAAAAACAGCTCCTATGTTCTGATAAATATTGATAGACGAAAAATAAACTAGAATAATCAATTTATATATATGTAGCCGAATGCCAGCCATACTGAGATTTAAACATTGTCCTAAAGGTGACCTTTACAGGGAATGACTACTGGATATGCATGAAAGTTGATGTTCCAAGGATTTCTTTTCCACAATAAAATTAAGGGTCTGTTATACTTGTGTTTTGTGGTTGGAAAAGTGATGCAACATTTTGATGCACACATACATATTGATGCAAATTTACAATGACTCGAATATTCCTGATATATACTAGTCCACTGTTACTATTACGATTTAAAGAGGTAACATAGTATGATTATATAATTGCTTATTTAATCAGTGGATTGTATAAAATTTCAAATTGAGCATCGGCCTGAGCATGGGCATAAAAAAAAACGTTTGGATGCAATCTCACCAAATATTTCTGAACAGCAACGATGCTATCTAAGTCTGCAAATAGTTCCATATTGATTCTTGCAATTGAGTCAACATCTTTGGGATAAAGTGGTTTGTCTTTGTCGGCAGCCTCGTATTTGGAGCAGAGGTAAATGGAGACCGCCCGACTAAAACAACAAACTAATTTTTGTTATCTTTTTAATCGAATAAAAAACCATAGTAATTTACAATATTGATATATTATTACCCATCGATTTTAATCGGTAAGTATGTTGATAGGTATTTGTCTGTCTGTGTGTATGTCTGATAGATGCACGCGATATCTCACGAATCTGCTCCAGATTTTGCATGTGCATGCATCATATCTCGGACCAAAAGCCTATTGATTTTGGGCTAATTATGTCGTATAATTAGCGAGTTATTAATTAATTAGTGATGGAACACAAAGTGTCACTATGGAGTAAGAGCGTTGTTTTGGGGTATCCCCTAACTTCCGATCAATAAGTCTTCGGTCTCTGACCGATATTCTCGTTGATGCGTTAGTGAAAAAAGGGAATTATATTTTCCGAAGTGTATATTAAAATACGTGATCAAAATAACTTGGATCTTAATTTTTTGCGGATTTTCTGAAATACACACAAAATCTGTTCAGAAGCCTTATAAAATGCGAAAGATATTTCCAATGTTACCTACTAGGGTTTGTCTTTTTGACCTACCTTTCTCCCAAACAAATATTGCCATCTTTCAGAGCTGGTACTTTCCCATACGGATTAACACTGAACAGTTCGTCTTTATCCACATTACCTGACCACAAGTTCAACTCAATTGCCTCATATTCAATTCCCAGTTCCTTTAACACCATCCACACGGGTTGGCATGCCGGACTTTGAGGATGGTAGTAAAACTTCATTGTAAAGCACGAAAGTAAATAGATTCACAGTAAACTTTTATTAGGACTCGAAATCAGTATTAATTTCTCTAGGTTTCAACTGAGCAATGACAGATGCAATTTGCTAACGTGAGTGGAGAAGATCGTTAACTAAAGACATTTGAAGCTTGTCACATTTAAAACAAATTATAGGATCTACGCTCTATGAGACGCCTATTCTCAGTCCTTCCGTCTGTCGAAGCTGTAGCGCCTTAACGACTGGACTGATCTGTATGCCATGAGTGGGTCATCCTGTCATCTTAGTAATATGCGTTTCGTCGAAAGTTCGGATTAAATTTTCGTTTTCATGGCAACAACGAAAAAAACGCTCCGATCGTTATGAATTTTCCAATTTTCTCTTAATTTATATCGGTTTTCTCGACAGCCCAGTCAAAAATGAAATTCCAAGAAAGCTACCTCCCACAGAAGAAAATACTCTTTCGAACAAGTCGTTTTCCGTCTCGATACTCCATAAACTGGAGAAGCTTCGGGGATTTTAGTGAACAATATTTCAATTGTTAGCTACGGTATACCACTGACGAAAGATCTCTAAGAAACGTGCAGCGTTCAAAATGAACAGCAGTTTTGGCAACCCGCACGCTAGATCACGCTGCCGCTATTGATCCGTAAGTTTCAATGGAAGATAACCGGTTGCACTCAACTATCAGTGGATATCTTAGGCACCTACCAGCTTGTTAAATTATAGGACATTTGTTCATAGTTATTAGGATTTTGAACTATAAGCCTAAATCCATGTAATCAACAATCATCTTCCGAATTGGTATTTTATTCCTCATAACTTGATATATATCTGTTCACGATTCACTTCTACTCGAGCTATTCTATGGCTGTAAGGATTTCAGGTCGAGCGGCCTGTGACAATGCAACTCTTCGGGTAATAGTACCTGATAGCTCACTGACTTATAGTATTATCGGCGTCGGTATATCAATTCCATAATTCCGAAAAGTGTTTCAAATAGCTCAAAACGTCTCTCCCGACAAATATCCGCCGCAAATGCTAAACGACGACAGCAGATACGCTCCGTTGCACAACGAAGCAAACAGTACACGACGTGCCACTTAAAAGACCTCGATTTTAAGTAAATTGGCGGATGCGATGCATAAAAAGCGCGCACGACAAATATCCCGACCAATACTTGGAAGGACATTCATGCTAGTGACGATTTTGTGTTTTAAATCGGAATATAAAAATCATTGCGAATATTCTGGAATCTGCATAGCATAACACTTTGCGTGAAAATGTAAACGAATAGGCCAGTAATGATATTTTAATACCGGATTGATAAACGGGCGAAAAATATGTTTTTGTTAACATCGTAAAGCACAGAAAAACTACATATTGCTCAGTACAAACAATATATCATTATTATATTACTTTTGTTCCAAATGTTAAAGGTTATATTCACTCTAATTTCAAGTTTTTCATTAGAATCAAATAGCGACTAAGAAAATAGACGTTAATATAAAAATAAAAATAAAGTAGGCCTATAAATTTTCGATGCTTTTTATAACGTATGGTATTACAAAACTCGGAATGCTTGTCGATTTACGCAAGGACATATTGAAAAGGAATTTGCAACCTGCAGGCTCCTCGAATCGATTGATAACCACTCATCGCACATGGAACCATATCCATGTTCTGTAGCGCAGGTGTCGGATTTGCACTGCGACACGCAACCTTATATTAGTGTCACCAACCAAATATGTCGATGGTGCAATTTGAACCGTTCGATGTTCTTGAAATAATTGAATAAATATTATAAACAATTCGAATAGGTAACGCGGTATCACGTGCCTCAAAATATAAGTTTATAATTTGGTCACCATTTCAGTCGTTTTTTCCAATAACAGTAAACTGCAAAAAGTTCACGATCGGGCACAATAAAATTACAACAATGGCGCAAGAAACGCATTTATGGGAGCATTTTGCAATGAGGCACAACATCCTCTGTGGCAACACGTAAACAGACGAGGGGGATTAATAAAAAAGGACTGGTAGCGCTATAAACGCGTTGAGCAATTACATACGTTATGGAAAAAAGAGAAAGTGTTGCCGGCATACTTAAGCCAACTTAATTAATTAATTAATTGTTGCAATAATCCAAAGACCACTTGAAAAGTCCAGCGTACCACTAGTGCTACGCTTACCACAGGTTGAGAACCACTGGTGTAGACGCATAATCTGTTACCTTATCGATTTGTACGCTTTCCTCCTTATATACTCAGCGAATAACGCGACAATGTGTTCTATTTTTAAAATTCAACGTATTGCACCATTATGTCGATTAATATTTGCCCTCAGGAATTCTTATTGCACCATACGCCGACAATTTTTTGTTTTTTTCGCTTAGTATTTTTGAAGAAAAATTCATCCCAATCTCACGTGTAGCACGATGGTACAGTATAATCATTGGACAGAGATAGTCGGAATTCAAGGATTTCTAATCAGCAATTTTTGACTTTATGAAACATTTCCTCGCTGACCCTAATTGTTTACAATACCGGCATTCGGGTTCGAAGGATACCCGAGTCATTAGAAACTAGGTGGAGCTGGTATGATCTAGGAACGGTATCTGATTTGAGACATCTCCCAATCATGTAATGTTGGTCCAACCCGGGAGGCTCATTCCATTCTATACTTACACTCTTCACTAAGCATTTTAGAGTTGAGCTTCGGCGTGCTTTTTAGCTCTTTGCTATTCGGCAAAGAAAATCAAAGGACTCTTTAGATAATATCAGTCTTGTTGCAATGCATGTTAGTGAGTCAATACTATATTATAAATGTGTATAAACTTCAGTTTGTGTGTGTAATTGTTTAAATAAAATTTATAAATAAATTGTATAAATTACAGGATTGCTGAGTGACTATTCTGGGAAATCCCAGTGCCGAAAATTCAAATTTATTTCCGAAATTCCGACCTCACTTGAAACCACTCGTACTATTCTAAGGTTTCGTGTAGACTAGATCATAATATTACTAAATATTCTGGACAGGACTAAACAGCAAAGTAACTTTATTATTATCCAAAAATATGAATTATTGAAAATGCACATTATATCATTATGTACAGTGCAAAAATAAATGTTGCTAAACATAGGTTAGATTCAAATTCATTTTAACATTTTGATGCTTTGCTAATAATTTTGAAATTTATTTTTCTATAACTCAGTCATTTCGTTATTATTAAGGGCTGTCGATGCAGTAACTTGGGCGAGCAAATCACAGTAAAACGACAATACTAATAATGACAATATGCGTCGGGCTTAACGATTTCCGCTTGCATAACCACATAGATCTAGTGTAGGGTTCTAGTTTCCATAGATCTGGAAAGGCAACTTTCCTCTTGTGTTTCATTCACTAAAAGATGTATAACATTTTCAGTGGCATTTGCTTCAGTATAACTCGGCCCGGTGAACAAATATTTGTAGTTTATACCAGCGGTGCACAACACGAGGCACGCGTGCCAAATTTGGCACGCCATACGCTCAAACGTGGCACGCGAACGGTTTTGAAAAAAAAAAAAAATTTATGATATACATTAGAATAGTGTTACTTCGGTGGCCGTGGCACCCGAAATTTTGCGATTTGCAATGTCTAAAAAAGCGTTTTTAATCGGTCGCGGATCATCATAAAACAAAACTTATGCTATCTCCGTTTTATTTTTCGTATTTTTTATTGCCGCTTTTCAATATAGAAAATTTCGAGTTGACACCTACCAGGAAAAAAAATTTATTCCTTTTTGTTCGAACTCGCGGGAAACACCGCTTAGGTATCATCTATCAAAGCGTGTTCAGACTCATGTTTTCGTCGGAAATCCGCCAAGTGAGTTGTGAACTCCAATCGTTTGATTAAGCGACGCGCAAGTGACCTGTCGCGCCACTTGTTACCAAATTTTCAAATAGTAATTGCTATTCTATAATAGTAGAATATTTGAATATATGCCCAGCACTATTCAGTAACCATTAATTATTAACTCGATTAATATTATGTGAATAAACTTGCTCTTTATATTTTGTGTAAATTCTAACGTGAATCGCAACTTGGCTTATAGTTAAGTTCCGCAAAAGCGTTTGCGACCCGCAGTGAATTTCTGGCTCGTTGCGGACTGATTCAACCGCTCTTAACTTTCTCTTGTATTTCATTCTCTAAAAGTTGTATAACATTTTCTGTGGCATTTGCTTCAGTATAACTCGGCCCGGGGAACAAATATTCGTAGTTGTTTACACCAGGGGTGCACAAGTGACTCGGGTTGGGAAACACTGTTCTAATGTATATCATGAATATTTTTTTTTTACAGAACTGTTCGCGTGCCGCGTTTGAGCGTATGGCGTGCCAAATTTGGCACGCGTGCCTCGTGTTGTGCACCCCTGGTGTAAACAACAACGGATATTTGTTTACCGGGCCGAGTTATACTGAAGCAAATGCCACTGAAAATGTTATACAACTTTTAGTGAATGAAACACACGAGGAAAATTAAGAGTTAAAAAAATCAAACAATGAAATGAATATAACTCAGCGGGGATATGTTGTTAACTTGTTACTAACCTCCATGCGAACAATAATTCGTTAGGGCAGCAGATACAACTTTTTGTTTGTGCGGCGCTAAATTGTCAAGAAAAAACTGACGGCACACACGAAAAAAATAAAACTCAATTTTGTGATCGTTGACTTAGTAAACGTGTAGGCCTAAGGAATAAAGACAATAGTTCAACTCTTCTTCCTTGTCTTTGCCTGATTTTGCTTGAAATATTATAAACATTTTATATATATGGCCTTTCATATGGTTCAGTTTTGGGGATGGACATTCTGGCTCGACTTTGTCACAAAACTCTCCAACGTCTTTAAATATTATTTCATCGGTTATATAAGTTTCCGAAAGTTGGCTAAATTTATTTCAGTTTGCTCGTTTAAACGATCATTCTTATCTGAATTGATCTGTCTCTGACATCATTACATCAACAGATGCTTTTATGATATAATTATCGCTCTCGATTAGTTCGTCGGATACACGAGTATGGTGGCCCATCGTTGTCACGCGTAAAATTGAAAATAAAAATAAAAAATAAAATAAAAAACCGAAAATAAAAAAAATAGTTGTGAAAAAACATAAAAATAATTAAAAAAAAATAAAAAAATAAAATTTTAATTAAAAAAAAAAATTAAAAATAAGAACGAAAAAAAAACGAAAAAAAAAAATTAAAAAAAAAATTGAAAAAAAAAAAAAAAAAAAATGAATAATAAGAAAATAAAAAGGTTGACAACGATGGTCCGCCTCGTGGCCCATCGTTGTCACGCGTTTTTATTTTTAGAAAATTTGCTTCTGCTTGGGACCAACGTTGTCAGGCATAATCCTACGCGCACAAATGTGTTCCCTGGGTTTCCAACTCACTACTGATTTTCTCGAGCAATATTCAATATGAAAATGTTCTATAAATTCTCCATGCTACAAGTTCAACAAGAAGTAATATATTTATAATAATGATAAGAGAATATGGAATTGAATATGAAAATTCGGAAAATTTGTTTTTACGTGTAGAAGGTAATTTAATTGGAGAATGCTGGTTAACTACTCAGTTGTCTGGACACTCGCGATGCCGGTACCGTCTTACCAAATACCGGTAGTCGGTTATAGTCGCTTTGCGTCTGACCGTACCGGTAGCCATGCAATCACTCATGAAAGAATGGGAGATACGGATAGTCTCGTAGAATATAGACTACTGAAACACTCTCTGCGCCTGCCCCATACCGTACAGCCGTAACGTACCGATCCAGACAAATGATAAATCGCCCGTGCTCAACCATTTATTTCAATCCATACCTCGATCCTAGTAGAATATAGTGGTACCGTACCGGCATCGCACGAGTGTCCAGACAACTGAGCAGTTAAGCAGCATTTTCCAATTAAATTACCTTCTACACGTAAAAACAAATTTTCATATTCAATTCTATATTCTCTTATCATTATTATAAATATATTGCTTGTGGTTGAACTTGTAGCATGGAGAATTTATAGAACATTTTCATGTTGAATTTATTGGATATTGCTAATAAAAGTCAGTAGTGAGTTAGAAACCCAGGAAACACATTTGTGCGTGTAGGATTAAGCCTGACAACGTTGGTCCCAAGCAGCATCAAATTTTCTAAAAATAAAAACGCGTGACAACGATGGGCCACGAGGCGGACCATCGTTGTCAACCTTTTTATTTTCTTTTATCCAATTTTTTTTTTAATTTTTTTTTTTTTAATTTTTTTTTTTCGTTTTTTTGTTTTTGTTTTTATTTTTAATTTTGTTTTTATTTTTAATTTTTTTTTTCACTTCTTTTTTTTCAATTATTTTTATGTTTTTTCACAACTATTTTTTCATTTTCGCTTTTTCATTTTATTTTTTCATTTTTTTTTTAAATTTTACGCGTGGCAACGATGGGCCACCATACACGAGTGACGCACCTTGTATAATATTAGCACTCGCGAGTGAAAGGGTTAATATCGAAATATCATTACCATCATTATGATTCGTATTCAATCAAGTCGGTCAAGTATTTACTATTTAGTACAACATAAAAATAAGAATGTAAGGCAATCAACATAGCAACTATTTGCCAAGGTTTCTTGCATCGTGGACTGCTTCAGATTGTATGGTGTGAGTTGAAATTCTTTAATACAGAAGTGTTTAGGTATAGTCGTACGAATTGTGCGATGAGAAATCATGTTCATCAAGGAGTTCATCCGGGGATATGTATACATTGAGGCTGTAAATAAAATTTAATGATTCTTGTGTATTGAAACTAACGACAAACATACATAACCATCGAATATAATTTCATTGTGCTCTTCTGGAAAGATCAAATGTAAAGAAATTTCCTTTGTTATCGGTCTAAAACGTTTTCCGCAATGAACTTGGTGATAAAGTTAAAATGACGAGTATGGCTACATCAATGCCAGCAAAATTGATTTTGAATCGACTTTAAAATCGGTTGGTACAACGGTTGCAGAGAAAGGCCATTTTTCGCAGCAACAATACCAACAAGAAAAGCAATTGTGCCCAATGATCCATAGATGAACTCTGTGTCCATTAATATTAAAATGCACATATTCATGCAGGTTTTGGATCAGGGATATGTTATGTTACTACAACCATCACAATGAGCAACACCTTCAAAGAAAAGCGTTCCATTGCATTTGGAATTGCCTCGTGTGGAATAGGATTAGGTTCATTTGTATTACCAGTTCTATTGGAATATCTAATAGAAATATATGAATGGAGGGGTGCGATTTTAATTTTAGGTGGTATCAGTGCCCACTTGATTCCAATCGGTCTGGTTATGTCTCCGCTCAACAACTTATCTTCAGAAAAAGAGAACGCTGTTCTGCAAGAACCGTATTATAATAATAACAATATTAATGACGAAGACGTACTTGCGAGAAGTTTGGCAGTAAAAAAATGAGCACTCAATATCCGAATCCACTAAAAAATGTGGAAAATAATTCCGAATGCATGGACCAAATAAATAGAAGAAAATCCAAACAAACTAACTTCGCTGATTCTACTATAATTAAAGAGGATAAAAAAAGGTTACAGTGAATATTTCTAGAATTAGTTCCAAATAAACCAGACGGAAAACGCAAGGAATGCGTCTACTCAATTTTCAATAAATCCAGTAAATACCGATATATGTAGATTATGAGGAAGAGATCATATGATAAAATTTTGTCATTAGTCAAAATCATAAATTTTTACAGTTTACCTCGCCACCTTTTTACACTCATTGTATGATGAATTGGTATATTTGACTGATTTTATTACTTGTAGCATAAGCAGGCCCGGTTTATCGTCGAACAACAACCAAGTCCGTCTAAGTTGGGATTCCGCACCCAGCTAAAAAAAAAATGGTCAGTCAGCTCTGCGGTTCGTCACTGCTGTCACCTTACCAACGCTTGAAAACACAGAAGTGTTCTTACTAAAATAAAGGCACAAAATGTCAGGTTATAGGGCGCGAGCTTAAGCTACGATATTTAGATAAAGACGGCGAAACCCATCTTATCGACTCGTTCCTGTCTGCACAAGACAATCCATTCTCCTTGTACCGATCACAGGACGTCATTCCTATATTGGCACCGTCTTGACGTTTTATAGATACACCATTGAAATTCTGTGATTTTAACAAACATGAATCCCGACATCGTGTTTCGGAAAAGGGCTATTCCGAGTTGGAATGATTTAAAAATACCTCTCCCAATAAATACAAATATTTGCCAATGATTTAGTGCACGCTAAAATTGCTCCGCGGGCCGCACGGAATGTGTCGGCGGTTTGGACCACCCTGGTTTAGTTTGTATATTCAAGCTGACACGCTGTGCTCAATTAACTGAGTTCCATTGTATGCGAGTTTCCATTCTGAGCAGATAGCAATGAGCAACGAGTCACAGTGGGAGTGTGAAATTCATTCTGATACTAAAGCTTCTAATCCGAGTGAAAGACTACTTGTGATGGCCAGACACAGGAATGCAACAAGTCACCCACGAGACTACCCTCTTCGCCTATAAAAAACTGAAAGCGTACTGACAGCTATATTCACTAACAGTGAATTTCTGTTACGACACGAACGCTTCCTCGACATTTATACCCTCGTCGGATGTATTCATCTATATCAGACAGGATATGCCGAATAACAAATAAATCACTACATTATGCTCCGTTTAATAAGTTATATTTCAAAGACAATTCTAAAATTTGTGAAGACCAGGTATTGCTAGATGTCATTTTCAAGTTTCATGCTAGTCTTCCGAATCTCAAGAAAGTATTATTGGATAGGGAAGTTCTTTTCAGACACAGTCTTCGGTTTAGACTGAACATTCTGTTCAAAACATGCCACGTGATTTATCACCTCAAATTCACTCATCACTTTACAATGATTAGTCATACGGTCAAATCAGAATGATTTTATTTTTAATGTTCGAGATTTGGAGGCGGAACTTATGTTTGCAGGTCTGACAAGGGTTCAGTCTTAACAAAGTGCCGACTTAGATCAAAATTTGTAAACAGCCGGAATCGGTTGTAACGAATTCAACATTTGATGCGGCTATAATTGAACAATCAAAACTGTTTATTTGAAGATAAATCTTACAAGCTTGGAAGTAATAGATACGTGTGAATGTTTATCTTCGCTTTGTAGTATTATAGTCTTTCATTGCAATTTTTATTTTTTTGTCAATAAAATTATTACATAAATCCAAATTCACTTTATAGCACAACATTTTATACAGTAGATATGGTACTTCTAAAAAAACACGAAGGTAATTGAAAATCTAACAAAAATATGTCGTCATCAAATGCAAATAGTTGTCTATAACATTACCTCATGTATAAAACATTTATAACCTAATCAAGCCAGGAGGAGAAAGACATTCATGCACAAATAAAGGATAAGAATATATCAAGTTTAAATAGGAATTCTTATTCTTTCTAAATATAAATATTATTCCTATTTATAAAACACTTCACGTCAGTTCGATCGACATTGATGAACTGCATGATGATCTTGTAATGATGACTTATGTGGCTTGGATATGATGTAATATAAAGTTGAGAATGATTTATCTTCAAAAACTTCTGTTCTCATGTTTAACATGCTGCAAAATATTTTTTGTTTCATAAATATATTTTTTCTTCCATATACCGGGATATCCAGAAATAGATCTCAAAATATTTGAAGCCGGTTAGATTTGATATTATAAATCCTTTATTTTATAAGAATTATTTAGAAGAATATGATACAGTTAGACGTATTACATTATAAGTTCGAAAAATTTGTTTTGAAAAAAAGTGTTGTTAGGTATATTCGATGCCAGCTTGGCCAACATTTTATAATAATATAGATCGTCCCTAAATATGTTTATGATATTGTCTCAAATATAACGATTTTAATTAACAAACTCAAGTGCATATTGACGATCAATGCTGTGAATAGTATTAGAATTGAATAAATTGAAGTAGTAGAATAGGTGTAGTCGAAATTTAAACTTTTTGCAATCACAATTTGTAATAATCTGTATTTTCTGTTCTATGAAATAGATTATGTGTAAATCAGATATTGGTTTTCGAATAGCATGGATTCAGAAATCTAACGGAACTCGTATCATTTCAAATAGCTAATAATGACAAAGTAATTAAAAGGTCATTTAAATCGATCTACACTTACGATATGCACAAGTTGGTCCAATCCAACCTTCATCACAATTGCAAGTTGGAGTGTTGCCATCCAATATCACCTGACCATTGACACATTCTTAAAACAATACGTTACCGTTGCAAACTACTCAAAATGTATGTCAAATTTTATGTTTGTTTGCCTATGTTTACTGTACTTTGATTTATTTGAATAAGATTCATTGATCTAGTTGCATATCATTAATATCACTATTGTGTAAACCTGACTATATTGCAATATATATTATAAATATAGATATATAAAAAATATCTTCGGAATATTTAAGAAGTGAAATTTAAAAATATCTTGAAATAATAATTCAAATCAACCTTATTTGAACGTTTTTATTCACATATTTTTTTTGCGACAATTATTTGTTAGACTGGTATCGTAGGTGTTTCGACAAAAAAAATTATGTTTCAAAAGTGTATGCATTATGAAAATTATTGGGCGGAATAAATAGTATTTTATTATAAGCTTCATATGGTCATCATCCAATAAAACAACTCGTTTTCAATAAGAAAACTTACCAAAAACCTGTGGTAGGGAACTACAGGCATAGTCTGCATAGCAACGCATGACATTAATAAGCTCAGATTCTGCTATTTGACTTCCGGCATCGCTGAATATTAAAGGTAAGTTGAAAAATTGACGCATTGCGTAATGAAAATAGAATTTAATGTAAATTGAAAACAATTTATATTTTGTAGATTTGCTTGTTACAATGATAAAGGTTGAAATACATATTAAAAAATTGCGGCTGTTCTATGTTACAGGATAGTTTAGTAAACTTCTGGCGTATTTCCGTGTGGTGAAGCCCCTCGAACAGCCAAGTCAGTGCGTCGGGAACGATTATTTGGTTATGTTCATAATTTTTGAACTTGCTAGTTGGTCAACTGGATAAAAGGTCTGCCATACGGCTATAAACTTCTCGAGAATTCAGAATTTATTTGATTGGTGCCTTCTAAATCACAAAACGGAGACAAAAATATATTTGTGAGTTAAAAAGGTAGTGGCAATCCTTTTGAACAACCCATCAACTGGAACTTTGAAATAACTGATGGTGTGATTGGTGTGATAAGTACTGCACTGTACGTCCACGGGTTAGTTAATAGGTATGTTCTGGCCAAAAAATGGGCCCAGAAAAGCGATTTCGTAGCCGGGAAATAGGGTATCAGTGAACAGAATTATTATTTATAGTTTTGGTTTATAAAATATTTCATAAATACCGCTATATATGCAACAACTTACGTCACAACGAGATTATATCCAAAAATCACTCCTGAAATTTCTCCGGTGGTAGAAAATTCACTCGTCACATCACTGCCTACAGTCCCAGCTACGGTTTGAACATCCAATGATGCGGAGGTTGGAAATTTGGAATACTTAAAAAATGAATTGTATTTCAGTAAACTGATGTAATCGAAAATAATACTTTTTATAACTATAATTGGTTACATTACATTACAGTTTGTCCAAATGAGATTTAATATGTATTGTCGTTATTCTGAATTAGCTAATTTATGAATAAGTACAAATGATTATTCCGATACAACCAAATATTACTTTCAAGCGTCACCCTATTGAAAGTCTTGTATCTGGAGTAGAAACTATGAAGGTCCCGAAGTTACAATTCAGGTTACGGGCTGGAGAAAATTTCTTGATTGAAAATATAGCACAAAATTTCATAATCTCTCTGCAATTTTAGTGTAATTTTGTGGAACTTGATTATAGATTCCAAGCGTTCTCATCAGTTATCTTCAAAGTAATAATATCCATTTCATAATGTCATTTTTTTTCTGTTATTTGAATTTGTGTATTACATTGTATTAATAAGATACAGTTTTCCTCAATATTGCGATGTACCACATTCAAAATGTCATTAAAAAGAACACGGCCACAGCCTATAATAGTTTCATGAAAGCGGCAAATCTTACCCCTGCCTGACCCAAAACAAAGAATATATCTGCCATTGCTGGAGCGTTTGAGTTAGTCGGATTGTATCTCTGAACAATTTCATACCACACACCACATGTTCCTCTAACTTCATTTCCAGATATTTCTTGATCACCGACAAGATTTCCATCTCTGTTTGCGTGAGTTATCTAAAATGCATAAAATCAGTTTAAATAAATACTTACCTTTAGAATAAAATGTAATCAAAGATATAATAAAAAAAATAATTATCGATCTCGACCGGTAAGTCGATAGGTAAGGTATTTATTTGTCTGTTAGTTTGTTTGTCTGTTAGACACTTTCGTATGTTACTCGATATCTCACGAAATCGAGATGTCTATTGATTGACCAGAAGTTCATTGATTTTGGATGAATTATGTCGTATAATTAGCGAGTTATTAACTAATTAGTGATGGGACACGCGGTGTCGCTATTGAGTCAGAGCGAAGGAATCGAAACCGCAGTTTCTGTTTTGGGGGATCCCGTAGCTTTTGTCGCTCCGTTAAATATGTCGATTAAAATATTGAACAAGAGAAAGATCGATAAGTCGGCGATCTCCGAACGCTATCCAGCTTTTAATTTTAATAGGTAACGGTTTTATTGTAATGAATAAAATCTGATAAAATCATTTCTACCACAATTTCTTGTCAAGAAAAATATATTTTATGTCGGGCTTGTACAAATGATAATTTCAAATGCTTCAAATAATACAAATATTTCTTCTACAAAGATAATAAATTTTCTTTTCTTCGTTTCTTGTTCTCAACAATAGTATTTGAAAAACTGAATCAAGTCTACTCAAAGATCGGGTCCGCTCAAACGATATGAATTGAAGATATGTAGTTTGATCAGAGTTCAATTGTGATATTCTGTGATAACCAATTGTGAATTGAATGTGATGAAAGGCAGCCATAAATGATTACGTCTATCAATGTGTTGTTTGTGGGTATTATTAAATTACAGATGCATATTTTTATAAAAAGACATGTATATCTATCTGTTCTATATGTGTTGAATTGAATCCAAAGTATAACGCACGTGTCTCATGCTAATCACTCTTGACAAGATAGATAGACCGTAACACAATGACAGAATTGTTTTGCATTAATAAATTAATACTTAATTTAATCGTCGTACAAATGGTTTAAAGAAACTCATGGAAATGCACAATAATCAATGTTCATTTCCATGAAAATGCAGACTTTGTCAATTTGCTATTCACATAATACCATATATTCATATCCCTAAATGTGTTTATTCATGCTTTTAAATCATTCATTTTCAAAAATTAAACAATTTTCCAGTGAGATTGGTTTAATTTATTTGATTGCACTGGTATTCTGATAAAAACAATACAATACAATGCTGACAATTTGTTCTATAAATAGTGTAACTATGCATCTTGACTTTCCTCCTTGTCATCAGGACTTATTATTCCTGTTGACTGGACCCAGTTATGTTCATTAATGCATTCCTATATTAGTAATTTTTAGAAAGCAAAAACAGGACTCGACGATTGAATTATACAGTTACCTTCACGTTCCATCCTATAGAATGTGTTTGAGAGACAGGAATTTCGATTGCCAGAAGAAAATCATTCTCACTGCTTGACTGCATTATCGGGAATGGTGATGAAGCACCACTATAATAACAAACAGTTCCTCTTGATTAGTCTTCTGATTCACCCATTAAACACCCCGTTAATACAAATAAATTCTTGTTAGCATCCACAAATATTTATCCACAAATATTCAACTGTATTCGTAAAATTCGAATTAATCACATGATACGTTGAGAAAAGTACCAACCATTGGTAAAGAAAGGCAAATGAAACAACATTTATTTTTTTAACAACATAAATTTTATATGGATATTTATGACTCTTTTAAAATAAAACTGTAGCACTGAACAGTTTGGCGAAATATTCTCTATTACTTTATAATGCAGGTCTTAACCTATTTAACTTACGCGTGATTAGGTATTTGTCTAAGTGTGTCATAATTCGTGGTCGAGTCTCCGAATTCAAAGTTCTGTAAAATATGGTCAAAATGAAACAAACACCCATATATTGAGCTGCAAATAAGCACCCAAAAAAGAACGTGGTGACGTAAATTTTTAAACCCGATATAGTTTTTGAATAAACAACTGAAAAGATTATATAAAAACATCAAATAGTGTCCTTATGAATAGACTTCAAATTTGATCATATGTGTTCATTATAAAATTTTATGATTGGAAATTTAAGTTCTCGATAATTACATACTGTATTTTCTCAAGTCTGTGGCAAATAAGCAGCCGTAAAATTTATTATATAATAAAAAAGCCAATATTTTTTCTTCTAGTTATTTCTTATTTATTTCAATGAAACTGCTTTATCTTAACTAGATGCCCACAGATGTTCTTGTTGCAGTTACGTATCTAATTTGCCATTTTTCTCCGAGGTTTATTTTATTTAATTTCTTATTTCACTGTTGTTTGTATTTCGATTTGCATTGTTATTATAACTCAAGTATGAAGAATGTTTACACTATTTGATTAATGCTTATTACTTTCAACGCTCACTTCAGTTTCTTCAAAAAATAATCGCGACATATATTTTTCTAACATTCATTAAGTTAAAAAATAAACACCTCGATCAGAGTTTCAGCGATATTTGCCACTTCGCGAACAGTTATGACTCCACTTTCGTCAAAGGCATACAGATATTTGAAGTGATTCGACAGGGCAACTGGACATTCATCTCTGTATGACATTTTAGTTACAAAATTTACAGAATGACCACCTGAAAGCAAAACATGAATATATTACATTTTGTGAAAGCTTTTTATTTCAGTTGATTGAATATGCCGGTCTAATTTAAATGTAACTATAGTATTTCAAATTCAATTTATATATTGAGAAATAAAACTAATTATAAACACAAGACGTTTTGGAGCTTTAATCCGATCAAGAACAAGAATTATTAGACAAGAAGTCAATTAATTATAATGAAAGATAATTCGATATGAAACTTACTGGAACCGCAGCTTACGTCACCGAACCCAATATTACATTCGCATATCTGTCTGTCGTGTGGTTGAAGTGTTATCACATTTCCTTGGAAACAAACTGAAACAAAAAGATTAAGAGTAGTCATCAATGATCAGATTAGTTAACATGGAAACGAAAGAGATGCATTATAATCTCTATATCCGATTAATCTAGGCAAATATTCTATTTTGGAAAGTATTTATTGTAAATGATTTTTTTATTCGATTTCAATCCTGAATAAAATTCAAATTGATTAATCTTTCAGGAAAATTATATTATAAGCAAATACAGCTATTTTGTATATTGGTAAAATTGATCGTTTCGAATAGTGGTAACTTATGATTTAGCTTCAATAAAGAATAATTTTTGTATTCAAAAAAGGCGATGATTTTGATTTTTTCATCATTATTTGTCGGAAGTCAAACAATGTAGCTTTTATTTGGTGCAGCTTCTGGTCGATGTAATTTCCTAACAAAGTGCATGCATTCCAGTTGGCGAGTGCTACTATGCTATGTACTGATATCATATTCACTCATGACGCGCAATAAGAACAAAATGGATTCCAGTGTTGAAACCGAATATAAACACTGATGTATGGAAATGAAAAAAAAGAGATGATTTATAGTTAAATTTCTATGTTGTTGTTCTCATTTTGACAGTCAAAATTTAGAAATAACAAAGACACGCGTCTCCAAGAATGATATTTGTAGAGTCATGAATTCCAGACGTTTTTCAATTTTCTATCAACTTATTTCTGTCATACTTCTCTTCTATTGAGAGGCCAGATATCAACATGCTGTTGCCGGTATGCTTAAAGAAGCGCTAGAATATCATAAAAGTGGTTAGAATCATTCTATGCCCCCTCAAATTCATCATATCATAATTATTAAGTGTTGCAGGGTTGCTTTGACTTAGTGAATAACGAAAATTTATGGAATAGACAATAAATAAACTTACGATTGGTGCATGTGTTACCAAAATATTCAGGATTACATGTACAGACAATGTCGCCATTTTCAAGGGTCTCTGAGTTTCCGTTCTCGCATATGAAAATACCTGGATTCATGTGTGTCTTAATTAACATTTGAAATGCACGATATCACTTGTGTAGCACAATTTTAAAGCCTTCAGTCTCACATAACAACTTAAAGAAGAAAATGCGTTGTTAAATCCATACATTAAAACATATTTGTTAACTAATATGATTATTGCGAATACATATCAAGTAGGTGAATTATTATTAAAATTCGACAACAATGTCCAATTTGTTTCCGATTCTTCTTAATATGTAGGCTAGTTTATACTGTGATGTAATTGTAAGTGGTTTCCGGCTCAAGTTTTTCATTCTAACCCGTTTATTTTTCTACTTACCGTCAACGACAGTGCTGAACTCGTCCGCATATATCAATGAGATGGCTGCAACGTCTTGGAGAGTCATGGTGTTGCCTTGATCCCTAAAAGTAAACATTTACATTTGCAACGAACATACTGTAAACGCATGAAAGTCAATCATGAAAAAGACATTTATTCAAGAAAACTGAAGCAGTATTTAGTTACAAAATACTTTATCAATATTATTATCATCCATAAAATGAAAGTTTGAGCTTGTCTTCTTTTCATAGTATACAAGCGTGACACATATAGTCATATCAAAATGACTTGTACGAGGTAACTTTCCTGTGTTATCTGGTTTTCTACAATTTACTAATTGTATCTTTCAATGACCGAATGATTAAATACATACTTCATAAATAATATAGATCCAAATAAGACGTATCTTGGGGAGTCTATCAATCTGATCTCTGCTGAATCGGCATTTGAAGTTCTTTGCACTGTTGTAGTCTCCTGAAAACATACTAGGAAATTTAGAATTATTTTATGCATAACTGACTGTAACAATATGCAATTCATGATCCTTAAACAATAACTAATCATACTATAACTTACTACTTACTTATACTATTATAGTTTTTTCATTATTATTATTTTTTTTAATTGGGGTTGTTTATAAATGGTTGGGAACGACAGGATTACACTATGTAACACACATTTTGTTCTTGGCTTCTAGTTATTACTTTGTAATTGAAAACATTAATTTATATGAATTTTTATTTTGTGAAAATGGGGAGGATTCCTTTTAAAAATCTTTTTTTATATGTATGTCTTTAGTTTATTATTTGCAACATCAATCCAAGTTTTTGTAAAGTAACTTAGTAGACCCATCCGAAATTCTGGAATTCGAAATCTTCGATTACTAGCCACTTGAATTGGTCATTCTTCAAAACAACCTAAAGATATTTGTTATTGCAACAATTTAGCTTAGTGCTGTAGCCCAAGGAGCTGCCGAATTAGATGGATATTCATTTTCACTGTGGAAAAATAATAAATGCCTTTAGATTCCGACTCTGAATAAAAAATGCAAGTCATTCGAGATACCTAGGGCCCTAAATAGCTGTCAAAATGGGATGGTTAGAATAGAAGCAACGTTCGATCTTTCTGGCAAAAAAAAAACCGTATTGATCATGTTGCGTGGCGAGTTTCCAGGCGCAAAGGACTAAAAACACTGAATTTTTGGGCATGGCAGGTGTCATTAAATGGCACCCTACAACTGAATGCTATTTGTGAAATCGACTTGGATTATAATTGGAAATATAGGGAAAAAATTCTGGATTAATGGCTAAGAAGATATTTGCAATGGATTTGTCCTAATTTCTTCAAGATTTCTTTCATATAACTGAAGAAACACATCTCCGGAATACCAAAAACACTAAAAATAGCACCATTCTATGTTACAATGAAAGTTTTACGCTATTTTATATCACAAAAACCCGATGTTAGGGAAACCCGCTTAATTATCACAATACCAATATTAAAAAAAAGTTGAATCTTTCGATGTGCAGAAAATCTAGGTTGAAAGCTGGGAACAAAAAAGAGGTTTTTATGCTACACAGTATTATCTGTCAAATTGCATAATAAAGGTAATTATTTCAATTAAAACCACTATCTTCTCCTTATTCAAGTATCGTATATGATGATAAACATTGTATATGATATTAATGTTACATATTGCTTGACTGAAGAAGTCTGGCTTTTGCAGACGTAATGTCAAAGAAAAAATTATGAAACATCCATGCAAGACTTCTGGTACAATAGTTTTGGTTTGCTTTATCTTTGCAGTCATAGCATACAGTACCACTGTCATAGAGGCATATACATCAAGGCATTATGCCACCAACCTATCTCAAACCGACCACCGATCGTTTTTAACAAATGAAAAAAAATAGTTCACGTGTATATAATTGATGTAATGACCGAGAGTACATATATACCTGTCCCACTCGTGACACGATAAGTTGTAAGATAATGACTGTTTCGTAAGAGGCGTACACGGTTTGTGTTGCTGAGTATTCGAAAGTACATTTTCCATCGGTGGTTGTAGCTGTTCCTGGCCCTAAATTCGTGACTGTTCCAGTTTCCGGGGTGATATGATAGTAGTTTTCATCTAAAAGTGGAAATGGGTAAATGGGGGGGGGGGGAGCAAATATGTATAGTAATTTGATGCAGTAGATTTAGAACTGATCTGTATAGTGGAAGACTTTTTCTGTCTTGTTTTGTGTACAATTAAAAAATGTAAAGTGATACATGTTATATCAAAATCCGCCCTAATTTGATAAGATTCGAAAAAATCGCAGCAACATGATACAATTTTATAGAATATAGACCCTGAAAATAAAATACTTCCGTTAAATCAACAAGTTCATAAATATAATAAAATACACAAGTAAAGATTGTTAATATGATATGAAAAATAATAATGTTGTAGTCTAGGATATTGTTCTAAATTAAAAGATATTCCACAAAAGAAGCGACAAATTCATCCATTATTCTCATGTTTGGCGGAAGGAAAATTTTCGTTCAAATTCAGTGTCAAAGCACGAGATTGTTTTGTTCTGAATCTGCTCATGCTCTCTTACTTTGTGGAATGTTTCATCCTTGAGTCTGTTTGCATTAGTTAAATACAGCAATTGAATGAATGGCGTTATTGTAGCCTGGTCGTATTCAAGGTCTCCATAGCTGTAAAACAAACGAAAGTTTATATAAAAGTTAAAATTCAGTGTTGTTTTATTGTTTATTTTCAATAGACACTGGCTTCCAATATCTTACTACGTTATATATCAGTGAGGAATCAATTTTAACCATAAAACAATAACAAACTCGTAAGGCACAGTGGCACAGTGATCCAATCAATGACTGATTTAGAATCAACTGATATCTTTTAGCATGAATAAGCTGTTGGGTTGTATTTTTTGCACTGAATTTGGAGTAATCTTTGCTAAAGACTAACATGAATTGCGTCTAACTACCGCACGCGAGCCGTACGCGTAAGCGGATATGTACGGATGAGTACAAATTTATTTTAGAGACATCAAAAGTTTGTTAAAGCAATAGTCATTCATGAACACAAAGTGCACGTACGAATTTTTCTGCTAAATTATTGTTATTTCGGTCGCTTATCCCTCGGCTAATCGTTTTCAATGCTTCAGTACCCAAAGACGGAAACTGTCTATATGCGCTGTTGAGCGCTAGAAATCTATTAATAAAAGGCTAAAACTTTTGTATTTTACAATTATGTTTCGGTAATTTTTTCCATCGGTCCACTATAGTTGTTACTCCAGCGGTTTGCATACGTGCATTTAAGTTAATTGCCAGGCGAGATCATATGACATCATAGTTAGGGTGTTTTCGTGTAGAATGTGCTGGAATACATGTTACTTCCTGTCTCCTGCTTGCAACACGAGTTGGTGCTGTTCTTTATAGTCCTGACTTAGCATGGCTAGATTAATATTATTTTAGTGCCGAATTTTTTGTTGTGAATTGATTAGATAAATATGAGGATAGGCAGCGCTGGAATAATCATTAAACAATAAGCACATGATTATAGGGCACCAAGCAACGGGGGGCACCACAGAGATTTTTAAAGCAAAATTTTTGAGAGTTGGTCAGACGATTCAAAATGTTCGCTTATTTTTCCTCTTCAAGTATCATGATACTTCCACTATTAATGCTTGTACGTTTGCTAACTATCTTCAAAAAATGATGTAAACTAATCATAATTTGGCCTGCAATTATTAATAACCACTGAAACTTACTAATTGGACAAGAAATGTATCTGTGAATTGTTTGGTAAAAATTTTGTTGTTGCTCTTCTTAGTATTCCCCTTGTTATTGCATTTTTGTTTTGGAAAAATCGCTTTTCTCTTCAACTATTGGACCAATTGATTTCTGGTTAAAGATTGGGTTCCATTAAATTCGTTTTCAATTCGAAGTTTCGTGTGACGAAATCATCAAAATAATAAATGACGCCACATGTGGCAGTTCCGCGATCTAATGGTCAGAAAAATCGGGAGATTTTTGATAATGAAGACCACTGTGTACCGATAGCATTTTAAGCTACAGTTGTGACTCGAATCATTTGGTATTTCGATTCACGTCGAGACTGGGCGCATGAATCTTCATCGTCACACTTTCCCAGGATAAATCAAAACCATATCTTCTCACACCAGATGTTGAAAATGTCAAATGTCTAATAGTGAATTGAATTCACCCATTTAACGGTAACTGCAGTTGATTATGTTATTGTACCTGAGTAATTGTTTCATGGTTTATTCAAGATTTATTCAAATCATACAATTCAGATCGAAGGCCTGCCAAATTTTTAGTCATGGTTTAGTCATGTCAAGGTGTTGATATTTCCTCAAAAACCTTGCCAAGCATCCATGTAATATATCAACAGCGAAAAATATATATTCTCAAATCATGAATGTTACGCGACTGCTAAAACTTCAGTATATAATTTGCAATTTGTTTCAAATCCGATTTTTCAATCGCTTGGAATTGGGCATTTTGATTCCACTGCTACCGTTGCGAATATATTTTATTACACTACTCTTGGCGTGAAATGCCTGAGGATATACTGAAAGAGGCTCCCCATTTTATCTTTTGCGGTTTAGATATTTTTATATTATCATTTACTAATGATGAATTCTAAACTGTTGCTTCGTCACCAGACAAATTATAAGATGCTGCTTAACTGCATTATATGCTCTTAAAAGATGACGAAGGGTGCAAGTTCCGGCTAATAAATTTCGGAAACGATGGAGGAACGAATATGTACATAACAAATCAGTAATTTCTTTATTGATAACGGAGCACAGGCCAATTGACAAGTCAACCTGACTAGGCAGACAGTTTCTATGTTAGAGAGCAATTTACCGGTTCCATTATCTTTTCATTCGCAACCGTGGACATTTGATCCCATATAAAGCTTCAAAAAATGAAACTTCGAAACACAAATATTTGGGAGTTAAATCGGGTGCGGATGCAAATGTCCATAGGTACAGGCGTACATGAATACAAATGTAGATTTGTGCAAATGTCGACGCAAATTTTCGTGAGTGCAATTAACAGTGGGTGCAAATGTTTGTGGAATTTCCGCGGGTGCAATCTATATGCGGGTTCTGGAATCTGTAGGTGCGAATGTGCGTGGATTCAATTTTCCTTAACAAATGGACATCAAAGAAAATTGTAGAAACCGATGGCACCAAATGTCGAATGAAACCGACGAAATAAAAATATTTGCCGCCGGTAACATACAGTCCAAATTTCACCCGCAACCCTGGTTTGCAAGAATGCAAAGTACGGTATTGTTTTACCACGGTTCGTTTGTAGCTTCCTATTCGGAAAAGTTCAGTCGGATCCCGACAACATTTATTGCTAATTGTGTGTTACATCTAAAATATGACAGTATTCTTTACAACCAGGTGGCACTATAATTGCGATGTGGCCTGTTTGCGAAATTTGCATAATCGCATTTTGATAACGAGAGTTGGTATTTCAAGAAAGAAAACACGCCCGCCATGTTTTGCAAATTAAAAAACAAAATGCAATGTATGTAATTTTCAATTATGAATTATTTTATTGAAATACTTTACGATTGAAACTTCTTTTCACATTTTGCGTTTCAATCCAAACGGCGCCCATAGCACCAGCCCAGGTTTCCATACCCTAGATACGCCACTGGGCTGTACCAATATTTATATAGACGCATCTCCCTTAGAAAATACCCAACAACTTACATTATGTCGCAATTTACATTCTCGCAAACGTATGTTATTTTGAAGCTATAGCATATAAATGGAATGTCCCGGGATATTACAAACTCGTGGATCGTCTTTGACTTGCAGACTCCCGTTCACCTCTCAGCGTCAATGCCCACGTGACTGAAGATTCCTTAGAAATCTCCGTTTGATTTTATTAGTTGATTTCTCAATACACAGTATACTATCTTTTAAGTTTTATCCAGACTAGCTTCACATTAAAAGATATTTTACGCTATATATACTCGATCATCAAACAACGAAATGATATTGATATTTGAGAACGTGATCTCGTGATTCGCGTTATAAACAGAAACTCTTATCATCTTTATAAGGATAATTATGTACTTCGTACGGATGGGAACTTACATATAATTATTTTAATCAATGCCTTAAATATCCTGAGAAAATAAGTTTTCAATTGATAATAACATGACGAAACATGTTCGTAAAACCTCTAGTTCTGTAATTTGATTCTTACGATAGTCTTCGTTAGACTTTTGGGAAAATTTAACTTTGTTTTTACAATTTTTAGCTGAAATTGGGGTAAAACTGGGGGGTTGAAGCTATAAAGCTACATTCTTGCTAAGTCTGCCTTCGCTAAACAGCGTTCGGTTTGAAATCCGTTGTCGCAAGTCCTTGCACAGAAGACAACAACAGTACATGGCTCCAACTAAAGGCAATGGCTGGCAGGAACCAATTTTTGCAATTTGTTCGTTTCAAGCGTTGAAGGCATTAGTTGAGTTGCTAGTTATATGCTATTGAAATTTTACAATGTTTAAATGTACTAACCTTCGGTCCGCACCAAACCCGTCTTGTACCAAAAGAAATCTATCAAATCCAAATTCCTAAACATATGAACATATTATTTCGAGTTAGTACTGAATAAATATGAGCGAAACTTTAAAGTCCATATAAATATCTCAGTTTTACTATACTTTATCACTTTAAGGTGTAATTGTGTCATTTACCTCTGTGGATCCGTTCTTTCTATTCCCTAGTTCAGGGGTGTGCAACACGCTGCCCGCCATTTAGTGTGGCCCTTGTCAACACTCAGATTTTTCTCCGCTAAGCGAAGAATCCTAATTCATAAATTTAGGTTCAAAAAGCTCACATGGGCAAAAATACACGTTTTTTGCTTTTGTCGTTGCGTTAAATCTTTCATCGTTTTGCCCGGCACCTTTATTACTGTAAGGCTATGTGATAGCCGCTTTTTCTTGTCTTTCCCGCTCTGATTGTCGCTACTAAATGTTGTTCTCCCAGGCTTTCATAACGCTTATTTACAACATTATATTGTACCGTGAAAATTCAATATAGGGGTTGATTGGCACTTCATAGACACCTG